ATGTTAAGCGTGGCAACAGCCAGCCTCACTTCATCAAATACACCACGAGATTAATTCGGAGACAGCTGCGAGATTTTACGAGACTTCACCGTTCAAAATGTCTTCAAACATGAATATGAATGCCCCACTTTGAGATCCGAGACTCTTGGTCGAGAATGTAAAACCGCTCAATAAAAATTGATTAGCTTCCTAGATATTCCAGGAGCCTTTCTTTCAGCCCGTATTCATGGAATCTGGAAACCGGTGATGGGTCAGCTCCAGTTTTGTGTTTCCGTTATGTTTGTAGTTGATCTGTGTCATGTCACAAAATGAACAGGACAACGAGTGAATTGTCACAACTTGTCCAACTACTAACAGCTGAATGTAGACTGTAGACATGCAAGCATCCGGATTAACTACCACTATAATTGATCCTTCAAACAATCTTGCTCCACTCCTCCAATACTTAGTCACAAATATTCAATTCACACTCCGTGTTGCTTCAAGCCATACACTCTTCTCCCTCCGTGTTGCTTCAAAACCATACACTCTTCTTCATCCTTGTTAATTCAAGCCATCCACTCTTCTTCCTCCGTCTTGCTTCAAGCCATACACACTTCTCCCTCCTTGTTAATTCAAGACATACACTCTTCTCCCTCCGTCTTGCTTCAAGCCATACACACATCTCCCTCCTTGCTAATTCAAGCAAAACACTCTTCTCTCTCCGTGTTAATTCAAGACATACACACTTCTCCGTAAGTGTTGCTTCAAGCCATACTCTCTTCTCCCTCCGTGTTAATTCAAGCAATACACTCTCCCCTCTCCTTGATAATTCAAGACATACACTCTTCTCCCTCCGTGTTGCTTTAAGCCATACACACTTCTCCCTCCTTGTTAATTCAAGCCATACTCTCTTCCCTCTCCTTGTTAATTCAAGACATACACACTTCTCCTTCCGTGTTGCTTCAAGCCATACACTCTTCTCCCTCCTTGTTAATTCAAGCCATGTACGCTTCTCTCTCTCCGTGTTGCTTCAAGTCACACCCTCTTCTCCCTCCGTGTTGCTTCAAGCCATACGCTCTTCTCCCTCCTTGTTAATTCAAGCCATCCATTCTTCTCCCTTCGTGTTGTTTCAAGTCATACCCTCTTCTCCCTCCGTGTTGCTTCAAGCCATACACTCTTCTCCCTCCTTGTTAATTCAAGCCATGCACACTTCTCTCTCTACGTGTTGCTTCAAGTCACACCTTCTTCTCCCTCCGTGTTGCTTCAAGCCATACGCTCTTCTCCCTCCTTGTTAATTCAAGCCATACACTCATCTCCCTCCTTGTTAATTCAAGCCATACTCTCTTCCCTCTCCTTGTTAATTCAAGCCATGCACACTTCTCTCTCTCTCCGTGTTTCTTCAAGTCACACCTTCTTCTCCCTCCGTGTTTCTTCAAGCCATACGCTCTTCTCCCTCCTTGTTAATTCAAGCCATACTCTCTTCCCTCTCCTTGGTAAGTCAAGACATACACACTTCTCCTCCCTGTTGCTTCAAGCCATACACACTTCTCCCTCCGTGTTGCTTCAAGCCATACACCCTTCTCCCTCCTTGTTAATTCAAGCCATGCACACTTCTCCCTCCGTGTTGCTTCAAGCGAAACACTTTTCTCCCCCTTGTTGCTTCAAGCCGTACACTCTTCTCCCTTCGTGTTGCTTTAAGGCCATGCACTCTTCTCTCTCTCCTTGTTAATTCAAGCCATAAACTTTTCTTCCTCCTTGTTGCTTCAAGCCATACACTCTTCTCTCTCAGTGTTGCTTCAAGCCATACATTCTTCTCCCTCCTTGTTAATTCAAGACATACACTCTTCTCCCTCGTGTTGCTTCCAAGCCATACATTCTTCTCCCTCCATGTTGCTACAAGCCGTACACTCTTCTCCCTTCGTGTTGCTTTAAGCCATCCACTCTTCTCTCTCTCTTTGTAAAATCAAGCCATAAACTCTTCTTTCTTGTTGCGTCAAGCCATACACCCTACTCCGTCCGTGTTGATCCCTCCGTGTTGATTCAAGCCATACTCTCTTCTCCCTCGTGTTGCTTCCAAGCCATACGCTCTCCGCCCTCCGAGTTGCTTCACGCCATACACTCTTCTCACTCCGTGTTGCTTCAAGCCATCCACTCTTCTCGTTCCGTGTTGCTTCAAGCTATACGCTCTACTCCCTCCGTTTTGATTCAAGCCATATGCTCTTCTCTCTCCGTGTTGATTGAAGCCATACACTCTTCACCTTAGTGTTGCTTCAAGCCATACGCTTTTCTCCATCCGTGTTGCTTCAAGCCGTACATTCTTCTCCCTCCGTGTTGCTTTATGCCATCCCCTGTTAACTCTCTCCTTGTTAATTCAAGCCATAAACACTTCTTCCGCCTTGTTGCGTCAAGCCATACACCCTTTTCCCTCCGTGTTGATCCCTCCGTGTTGCTTCACGCCATACACTCCTCTCCCTCGTGTTGCTTCAAGCCATACGCTCTACTCCCTCCGTGTTGCTTCAAGCCATCAACTCATTTCCTTCCTTGCTTATAAAAGCCATAAACTCTACTCCCTCCGTGTTGCTTCAAGCCATCAACTCATTTCCTTATTTGCTTATAAAAGCCATACACTCTTCTCCCTCCGTGTTGCTACAAGCCATACACGCTTCCCCCTCCGTGTTCCTTCAAGCCATGCGCTCTTCTCCCTCCGTGTTGATTCCAAGCCATATGCTCTTCCCCTCGTGTTGTTTCAAGCCATGCACTCTTCTTTCTCCGTGTTGCTTCAAGCCAAACGCTCTGCTCTCTCCGTGTTGCTTCAAGCCATACCCTTTTCTCCCTCCGTGTTGCTTCGAGGAAAACTCTCTTCTCCCTCCTTGTTGCTTGAAGCCATACACTCTTCTCTCTCCATGTTCCTTCAAGACATACACACTTCTCCATCCTTGTTCCTTCAAGTCATACACTCTTCTCCCTCCGTGTTGATTCCAAGCCATGCGCTCTTCCCCTCGTGTTGTTTCAAGCCATGCACTCTTCTTTCTCCGTGTTGCTTCAAGCCATACGCTCTTCTCCCTCCTTGTTAATTCAAGCCATCCATTCTTCTCCCTTCGTGTTGCTTCAATTCATACACTCTTCTACCTCCGTGTTGCTTCAAGCCATAAGCTCTTCTCCCTCCGTGTTAATTCAAGCCATTCTCTCTTCCCTCTCCTTGTTAATTCAAGACATACACACTTCTCCCTCCGTGTTGCCTCAAGCCATAAGCTCTTCTCCCTCCTTGTTAATTCAAGATATGCACACTTCTCTCTCTCCGTGTTGCTTCAAGTCACACCCTCTTCTCCCTCCGTGTTGCTTCAAGTCACACCTTCTTCTCCCTCCGTGTTTCTTCAAGCCATACGCTCTTCTCCCTCCTTGTTAATTCAAGCCATACGCTCTTCCCTCTCCTTGTTAATTCAAGACATACACACTTCTCCCTCCGTGTTGCTTCAAGCCATACATGCTCTTCTCCCTCCTTGTTAATTCAAGCCAAACCATGGCTGCACACTTCTCTCTCTCCCGTGTTTGCTTCCAAGTCACACCTCTTCTCCTTCGTGTTTCTTCACTCCTCCGTGTCTTCTCCCTCCATGTTAATTCAAATAAATACCTCTTCCCTCTTCTTCTCCTCCGTGTTGCTGTCTCTTCTCCTCCTTGTACACTCTTCTCCTCTCCTTGTTTGCTTCAGGTCCAGTACACTCTTCTGCCTCCTTGTTGCTTCAGGCCATGGCTCTTCTCCTCCGTGTTGAATTCCAATCATGCTCTCTTCCCTCTCCTTGTTGATTCAAGACATACACACTTCTCCCTCCGTGTTGCTTCAAAGCCATACAGCTCTTCTCCTCCTTGATTGCTTCAATGCCATGCACTTCTCTCTCCGTGTTTGGCTTCAAGGCCATGCACTCTTCTCCCCTCCGTGTTTCTTCAAACCGTACGGCTCTTCTCCTCCTTGTTGCTTCAAGGCCATGCTCTTCCTCTCTCCTGTTTGGTTCAAGGACATGCCTCTTCTTCCTCCGTGTTGCTTCAGTGTTGCACTCTTCTCTCCGTGTTGCTCCTCGGCTGTGTCCCTTCTCCCTCCTTGTTGCTTCAAGATGTGCACTTCTCCCTCCGTGTTGCTCCAGGTGATGCTCTTCTCCCTCCGTTGTTCCAGGCCGTGCCACTCTTCTCCCTCGTTGATTCCTTCGTGCACTCTTCTCCTCCTTGTTGATTCAAGGACTTACTTTTCTTCCTCCTTGTTTGGCTGGAGTCATGCATCTTCTCTCGGTGTTGCTTCAGGCCATGCACATTCTTCTCTCGTTGATTCAATTCATGCCTTGCACTCTTCTCCATTGTTTGCTTCCATACTACCTCTTCTCCATCCATTTTCCATGCCATTCCTTCTTCTCCCTCCATGTTTCTTTACCACCTTCCATTCTTCTCTCTCTTCCCATTCCATTGTTCCTTCCTGCACTTTCTTCCATTCCACTCCTTCCATCTCCTTCCATATTCCACTTTCTTGTTCCCTCCATTTCTTTCCACCACCTTCCCCTCCATTATTCTTCCTCCTCTTCTCCTTCCACTCTTCACTTCCTCCATTCTTCCTTCCTTCCTTTTCTTCCTCTCCATCTTCCATTCCTTCCTTCTCCATTCATGTTCATTCATTCTCCATTATTTTCCTCTTCCATTTTCCTTATGTCTCATTCCACTTCTCCATTCCATTTCCATTCCTTATTCACCTTGTCCATTTCCTTCTCTCCATTATTTTCCCTCCATCTTCCACCTCTTTCTCCATTCCATTCCATTCTTCCATTCCTCCATTCCTTTTCCTTTCCTCTCCATTATTTCTTTCCATCCACTCCATTTCCTTATTTCCTTCACTCTTCATTCCACTCCTTCCACCTTTCCATTCCATTCCATTCCTCTCTCTTCCCCCATTCCTTCCATGCCTTCTTCTAGCTCCATTCTTCCATTCCTTTTCTTTCTCTCTCATTACATTCCTTTTCTTTCCTCCATTATTTACTTCACTCTCTTCTCTTTCCACTTCCTCTTCTCTCCATGTTCCTTCCACTTCTTCTCCATCCTTGTTCCTTCAAGTCTTTCCACTCCATTGTTCCTCCATTACTTCCATTCCTATTTTTGTTCCATACACTCTTCTTTTCTCCATTATTCCATCCATTCTCTTCTCCCTCCATTATTTCCATTCCTTTCTTCCTCCTGTCGTGTTTCATTCCTCTTCTTTTTCACCTCCATTCTCTTCCACTGTTCTTCCTTCTACTCTCCATGTTGCTTCACCTCTTCTGTTTCCGTGTTGGTTTTCCTTCCTTTTCCTTCCTTTTCCTTGTTCCTCTTCTCCTCACGTCCGTGTTCCTTCCATCCTCTCCATTCCTTCCGTGTTCTCCTCGTTTTGGTCATGCCATCCTCCACGTTGGTCCATCCATGCCTGTTCTTCTCCCTTTGTTCTTCCATCCACTCCATCTCCTCTTCTCGTGTTCTTCGTGTCCTTCTCCCTCCGTGTTCTCCTCTCCTTCTTCCTCCGTGTTGTTCTTCTTTCCTCCGTGTGCTTCTCCTCCTTCTCCATGTTCCTTTGTTCCTCCTTCGTCTCCTTGTGTGTGTCCTTCCTTCCGTCTTCTCTCTCAGTGTTCCTTCCTTCCTGTTGCTCCTCCGTGTTTCCTCTCTCGTGTTCCTTCCTTCCTTGCCTCCGTGTTGCTCCATCGCTCATTTCCTTCCTGCCTCCTCCGTGTCCATCTCATTTCCATATTTTCCTCCTTGTGTTGTCGTGTTCCTTCTCGTGTTCCATGTCTCTCAGTGTTTCCTTTCTCCGTGTGGTCCTCCTTGTTCCTCCATGTTCCTTGTCCTTGTTCCTCTCGTGTGTGTGCCTGTCCATGCCTTCTCCCTCCTTGTTCCTCCATGTGTGTCTCGGTGTTGGTCTTCCATGTGTTGTTCCATTCTCAGGCTGTCTCCGTCTTCTCTTCCATCCTGTCCTTTCCTTCATATCCTCCGTGTGTGGTCCTTTCTTCTCCCTCCGTGTTCATGCCATGTCCTTCTCTCTCCGTGTTGCTTCTTCCATCCGTGTGTGTCCGTGTTCTCCTCTCCTTTCTCCGTGTTCCTCGTTGATTCTCCGTGCTCCTCCGTGTTGCTCTCTCCTTGCCTCCTCGTGTTGCCTCTTCTCCGTGTTTCCTTCTCCTCCGTGTTCTCTTCCCTCCATGTGCGTTTGCGTCCTCTGTGTGTCTCCGTCTCTTGTTCCTTCCTCCGTGTTCCACTCCCATCCTCTCATTTCCTTCTTCCGTGTTGCTTCTTCACGTGTTCCTCCGTGTGATTCCATGTCTCCGTGTTCCTTGGCTCCGTGCTCTTTCTCTCCGTGTTGCTTCTCCATTGTGTTCCTCCACTTCCTTCCTCCATCCTTCCTCATCCACGTCAGTCTTCTCCCCGTGTGCTTCTCTTGCTCCCCCCTCTCTCGTGTTGTTCAAACTCTTCCTCCATCTTTCTCCGTGCTGCCTCAGCCTCTTTCTCCTCCTTGTTGTCCCTTCCTGGCCTTGTCTCTGCCTCCATGTTTCTTCAAACCATCCCTCTTCTGTCTCCGTGTTGATTCCAGCCATACACTCTTCTCCTTCCGTTTTGCTTAAAACTATACACTCTTCTCCCTCCGTGTTGCTTCAAGCCATCAACTCACTTTCCTTCCTTGCTAATAAAAGTCATACACTCTTCTCCATCCGTGTTGCAGCAAGCCATACATTCTTCTCCCTCCTTGTTACTTCAAGACATACACTCTTCTCCCTTCGATTTGCTACAAGCCATACACGCTTCTCCTTCCGTGTTGCTTCAAGCCATATGCTCTTCTCCCTTCGTGTTGCTTCAAGCCATGTGCTCTTCTCTCTCCGTGTTGCTTCAAGCCATACACTTTTCGCCCTCCGTGTTGCTTCAAGCCATAAACTCTTCTTCCTCCGTGTTGCTTCAAACCATGCACTCTTCTTTCTCCGTGTTCCTTTTTTCGAAGTCATATTCTCGTCTCCTTCCGTATTGCTTCAAGCCATACACTCTTCTCTCTCCGTGTTTCTTTAAGCCATGCACTTCTCCCTCCGTGTTGCTTCAAGTCATACACTTTTCTCCCTCCGTGTTGCTTCAAGCCATGCACTCTTCTTTCTCCGTGTTGCTTCAAGCCATACACATTTCTCCCTCAATTTTCCTTCAAGCCATACTCTCCTCTCCCTCCGTGTTGCTTCAAGAGATTCACTCATCTCCCTCCATGTTGCGTCAAGCCATACACTCTTCTCCTTGCGTGTTGCTTCAAACCATACACTCTTCTCTCTCCGTGTTCCTTCCAAGCCATACGCTCTTCGCCCTCCGTCTTGCATGAAGCCATACACTCTTCTCTCTCCGTGTTGCTTCAAGCCATACACTCTTCACCCTCCATGTCAATTCAAGCCATACACTCTTCTCTCTCGTGTTTCTTCAAGCCATACACACTTCTCCCTTCATGTTAATTCAAGACATACACTCTTCTCTCTCCGTGTTGCTTCAAGCCATACACTCTTCTCCCTCCATGTTAAATTCAAGCCATACACTCTTCTATCTCCGTCTTGCTTCAAGCCATACACTCTTCTCCATCTCCGTGTTCCTTCAAGCCATACACTCTTCTCCCTCCTTGTTAATTCAAGCCATACCCTCTTCTCTCTCCGTGTTGCTTCAAGCCATACGCTCTTCTCCCTCGAGGCTGCTCCAAGCCATACACTCTTCTCCTTTCGTGTTGCTTGAAGCCATACACTTTTCTTTCTCCATGTTGCGTCAAGCCATACACTCTTCTCCCTCCGAGGTGCCTCAAGCCATACATTCTTTTATCTCCGTGCTGCTTGAAGCCTGTACACTCTTCTCTTTCCGAGTTGCTTTAAGCCATACACTGTTCTTTTTCCCTGTTGCTTCAAGCCATACTCTCTTCTCCCTCCCTGTTGCTTCGAAGCCATACTTTCTTCTTCCTCCGTGTTGATTCCAAGCCATACTCTCTTCTCCCTCCGTGTTTCTTAAAGCCATACGCTCTTCTATCTCCGTGCTTCCTCAAGCCATACACTCTTCTCTCTCCGTGCTGCTTTAAGCCAGTACACTCTTCTCTTTCTGTGTTGTTTCAAGCCATACACTCTTCTCTTTCTGTGTTGTTTCAAGCCATACTCTCTTCTCCCTCCCTGTTGCTTCGAAGCCCTACACTCTTCTCCCTCCGTGTTGCTTCAAGTCATACACTCTTCTATCTCCGTGCTTCTTTAAGCCATACACTCTTCTCTCTCCGTGCTTCTTCAAGCCATACACCTATCCCCTCCGTGTTGCTTCAAGCCATACGCTCTTCTCCCTCCGTGTTGCTTCAAGCCATACTCTCTTCTCCCTCCGTGTTTCTTAAAGCCATACACTATTCTATCTCCGTGCTTCTTCAAGCCATACACTCTTCTCTCTCCGTGTTGCTTTAAGCCATACACTGTTCTTTTTCCCTGTTGCTTCGAAGCCCTACGCTCTTCTCCCTCCGTGTTGCTTCAAGTCATACACTCTTCTATCTTCGTGCTTCTTCAAGCCATACACTCATCCCCCTCCGTGTTGCTTCAAGCCATACGCTCTTCTCCCTCCGTGTTGCTTCAAGCCATACTCTCTTCTCCCTCCGTGTTGCTTCAAGCCACACATTCGTCTCCCTCCGTGTTGCTTCAAGCCATACACATTTTCTCTCTCCGTGTTGCTTCAAGCCATACACTCTTCTCCATCCTTGTTGCTTCAAATCATATACTCTTCTCCCTCCGTGTTGCTTCAAGTCATACGCTCTTCTCCCTCCTTGGTTCAGCTCCTTCCCTCTCTCCATACCCTCCTGAGTCACCGTTATTCAATTTTGAAGTAATCTGTCTCGCCTCCATCGGCCCTCCAGTTCAACGCTCTCTCCAACTCTTGCACGTCACATCCTCTCTACCTTCATGTCCTTTGTGTTTCCTGCGTCCTCTCCGGGGTCACGACCGCTTTCCAGGTACAAAATATTTTCATGTTTCTTTCTCACAAGTCGATTCCTTTTACCCCCGCCCCCAGCCAACTACACCAATTCACAGTGTCCAATCGAGCCGAGTCTAAAACCTCCTCTTCCTCGGTTCGCAAGTAAGCAGTCCAAATTCAAGACGTCGATCGTTTTTCCAGTTACACACCTTCAACATTCTGATCATTCGTTCACCTTATATCAAATGAAACCCCATCCAGTTTATGTCATTTCGCTCTCCTTCACGGTATGCCCAAATCAAACCCTCTCCAGTTTATGTCATTTCACTCTACTTCACGGTATGCTAAATCAAACCCTCTCCAGTTTATGTCACTTTACTCTACTTCACGGTATGCCAAAATCAAACCCTCCCCAGTTTATGTCATTTCACTCTACTTCAGGGTCTGCCAAGCCAAACCCATCCCGCAGATACCTGTATGATTGTGTGATGTTGTGGGGTGATACCTGTATGATCGTATGATGTTGTAGGGTGATACCTGTATGATTGTGTGATGTTGTGGGGTGATACCTGTATGATTGTGTGATGTTGTGGAGTGATACCTGTATGATTGTGTGATGTTGTGGGGTGATACCTGTATGATTGTGTGATGTTGGGGGGTGATACCTGTATGATTGTGTGATGTTGTGGGGTGATAATTGTATGATTGTATGATGTTGTGGGGTGATACCTGTATGATTGTGTGATGTTGGGGGTTGATACCTGTATGATTGTGTGATGTTGGGGGGTGATACCTGTATGATTGTATGATGTTGGGGGATACCTGTATGATTGTGTGATGTTGGGGGGGGATACCTGTATGATTGTGTGATGTTGGGGGGTGATACCTGTATGATTGTGTGACCAATTGGTGTAACTAGAAGGGTTGTAGCGTGTGTGAAGTCGTTTAGTTGATACCCAAAGATGTGTGATGAACCGGTGTTGAAAACAGCAGAACTCAACTTCTTTATTTGTGATTATCATTTCTTAGCAAAATGCACATGTGGCAATGACTTGGGGGCACACTGTTGTTTAGTGTAGGTTTGAACCATACGTATTAGAATTTGTACTTTACTGAGAAAGTGTATTCCACAATACAGCGTTGTTGTATGATGGAGTGCTGGTATCAGAAGGGTTGTATGATGCAGTGCTGATATCAGAAGGGTTGCATGATGTAGTGCTGACATCAGAAGTGTTGTATGATGCAGTGCTGATATCAGAAGGGTTGTATGATGCAGTGTTGGCATAAGAAGAGTTAAATGATGCAGTGCTGAAATCAGAAGAGTTGTATGATGCAGTGCTGATATCAGAAGTTGTATGATGCAGCACTGACATCAGAAGAGTTGTATGCTGCAGTGCTGAAATCAGAAGAGTTGTATGCTGCAGTGCTGATATCAGAAGTTGTATGATGAAGTGGTGATATCAGAAGGGTTCTATGATGCAGTGCGGATATCAGAAGGGTTGTATGAAACCGTGCTGATATCAGAAGGGGTGTATGATGTACAGCTGATATCAGAAGTGTTGTATGATGTAGTGCTGACATCAGAACGGCTGTATGATGCAGTGCTGATATCAGAAGTTGTATGATGAAGTGGTGATATCAGAAGGGTTCTATGATGCAGTGCGGATATCAGAAGGGTTATATGAAACCGTGCTGATATCAGAAGGGGTGTATGATGTACAGCTGATATCAGAAGTGTTGTATGATGTAGTGCTGATATCAGAAGTGTTGTATGATGCAGTGCTGACATCAGAAGAGTTGTATGTTGTAGTGCTGACATCAGAAGAGTTGTTTGATGCAGTACTGATATCAGAAGGGTTGTATGATGCAGTGCTGACATCCGAAAGGCTGTATGATGCAGTACTAACGGCAGAAGGGTTGTATGATCCAGTGCTGATATCAGAAGTGTTGTATAATGTAGTGCTGATATCAGAAGGGTTGTATGGTGCAGTGCTGATATCAGAAGGGTTATATCAGATTCGATGTCAGAAGTGATGTATGTTGCAGTGCTGATATCAGAAGGGCTGTATGATGCAGTGCTGATATCAGAAGAATTGTATGATGCAGTGCTGGCATCCGAAGAGTTGTATGATGCAGTGCTGAAAACAGAAGAGTGGTATGATGCAGTGCTGATATCGGAAGGGTTGCATGACGTAGTGCTGATATCAGAAGGGTTGTATGATGCAGTGCTGACATCAGAAGGGCTGTATCATGCAGTGCTGATATCAGAAGGGTTGTATGTTTCAGAGCTGATATCAGAAGGGTTGTATGATGCAGTGCTGATATCAGAACGGTTGTATGATGTAGTGCTGACATCAGAAGAGTTGTATGATGCAGTACTGATATCAGAAGGGTTGTGTGATGTAATACTGATATCAGAAGGGTTGTATGATGCAGTCTTGATATCAGAAGGGTTGTATGATGCAGTGCTGATATCTGAAGGGTTGTATGAAGCAGTACTGACACCAGAAGGGTTGTATGGTGCAGTGCTGATATCAGAAGGGTTGTATGATGCAGTGCTGATGTCAGAAGGGTTGTATGATTCAGTGCAGACACCAGAAGGGTTGTATGATGCAATGCTGACATCAAAAGGGTTCTATGATGTAGTGTTGACATCAGAAGTGTTGCATGATGCAGTGCTGACATCAGAAGGGTTGTATGATGCAGTGCTGACATTAGAAGGGTTATATGATGTAGTGCTGACATCAGAAGGGTTGTGTGATGTAGTGCCGACATCAGAAGGCTTGTATGATGCAGTGCTGACATCAGAAGGGTTGTATGATGTAGTGCTGACATCAAAAGCGTTGTATAATGCAGTGCTGATATCAGATGGGCTGCATGATGCAGTGCTGATATCAGAAGGGTTGTATGATGTAGTTCTGACATCAGAAGGGTTGTACGATGTAGTGCTGACATCAGAAGGGTTGTACGATGTATTGCTGACACCAGAAGGGTTGTATGAAACCGTGCTGATATCAGAAGGGTTGTATGTTGCAGTGCTGACATCAGAAGGGTTGTATGATGTAGTGCTTACATCAAAAGCGTTGTATAATGCAGTGCTGATATCAGATGGGTTGCATGATGCAGTGCTGATATGAGAAGGGTTGTATGATGTAGTTCTGACATCAGAAGGGTTGTACGATGTAGTGCTGACACCAGAAGGGTTGTATGAAACCGTACTGATATCAGAAGGGTTGTATGTTGCAGTGCTGACATCAGAAGGGTTGTATGATGCAGTGCGGACATCATAAGGGTTGTTTGATGCAGCGGTGATATCAGAAGGGTTGCATGATGCAGTGCTGATATCAGAAGGGTTGTATGATGTAGTGCTGACACCAGAAGGGTTGTACGATGTAGTGCTGATATCAGAAGGGTTGTATGAGACCGTGCTGATATCAGAAGGGTTGTATGATGTAGTGCTGGCATCATAAGGGTTGTATGGTGCAGTGCTGACATCACAATGGCTGTATGATGCAGTGCTGATATCAGAAGTGATGTATGTTGCAGTGCTGATATCAGAAGGGTTGTATGGTGCAGTGCTGATATCAAAAGTGTTGTATGATGCAGTGCTGGCATCCGACGAGTTGTATGATGCAGTGCTGAAAACAGAAGAATAGTATGATGCAGTGCTGATATCGGAAGGGTTGCATGGCGTAGTGCTGACATCAGAAGGGTTGTATGATTTAGTGCTGAAATCAAAAGAGATGTATGATGTAGTGCTGACATCAGAAGGGTTGTACGATGTAGTGCTGACATCAGAAGGGTTGTACGATGTATTGCTGACACCAGAAGGGTTGTATGAAACCGTGCTGATATCAGAAGGGTTGTATGTTGCAGTGCTGACATCAGAAGGGTTGTATGATGTAGTGCTTACATCAAAAGCGTTGTATAATGCAGTGCTGATATCAGATGGGTTGCATGATGCAGTGCTGATATCAGAAGGGTTGTATGATGTAGTTCTGACATCAGAAGGGTTGTATGATGTAGTACTGACATCAGAAGGGTTGTATGATGCAGTGCGGACATCATAAGGGTTGTTTGATGCAGCGGTGATATCAGAAGGGTTGCATGATGCAGTGCTGATATCAGAAGGGTTGTATGATGTAGTGCTGACACCAGAAGGGTTGTACGATGTAGTGCTGATATCAGAAGGGTTGTATGAGAGCGTGTTGATATCAGAAGGGTTGTATGATGCAGTGCTGATATGAGAAGGGTTGTATGATGTAGTGCTGACATCATAAGGGTTGTATGGTGCAGTGCTGACATCAGAATGGCTGTATGATGCAGTGCTGATATCAGAAGTGATGTATGTTGCAGTGCTGATATCAGAAGGGTTGTATGATGCAGTGCTGATATCAAAAGTGTTGTATGATGCAGTGCTGGCATCCGACGAGTTGTATGATGCAGTGCTGAAAACAGAAGAATAGTATGATGCAGTGCTGATATCGGAAGGGTTGCATGACGTACTGCTGACATCAGAAGGGTTGTACGATTTAGTGCTGAAATCAAAAGAGATGTATGATGTAGTGCTGACATCAGAAGGGTTGTATGATGCAGTGCTGATATAAGAAGGGTTGTATGATAAAGTACTGATGTCAGAAGGGTTGTATGATGCAGTGCTGACATCAGAAGTGTTGTATGATGTAGTGCTGACATCAGAAGGGTTGCATGATGCAGTGCTGATATCAGAAGGGTTGTATTATGTAGTGCTGACATCAGAAGGGTTGTACGATGTAGTGCTGATATCAGAAGAGTTGTATGATGCCGTGCTGATATCAGAAGGGTTGCACGATGCAGTGCTGATATCAGAAGGGTTGTATTATGTAGTGCTGACATCAGAAGGGTTGTATGAAGCCGTGCTGATATCAGAAGGGTTGTATGATGTAGTGCTGAGATGAGAAGGGTTGTATTATGCAGTGCTGACATCAGAAGGGTTGTATGATGCAGTGCTGACATCAGAAGCGTTGTATGATACAGTGCTGATATCAGAATGGTTGCACGATGCAGTGCTGATATCAGAAGGGCTGTATGATGTAGTGCTGACATCAGAAGGGTTGTACGATGTAGTGCTGACATCAGAAGGGTTGCATGATGCAGTGCTAATATCAGAAGGTTTGTATAATGTTGTGCTGACATCAGCAGGGTTGTACGATGTAGTGTTGATATCAGAAGTGTTGTATGAAGCCGTGCTGATATCAGAAGGGTTGTTTGTTGCAGTGCTGATATCAGAAGGGTTGTATGATGTAGTGCTGACATCAGAAGGGCTGTATGATGCAGTGCTGATATCAGATATTAGCGAGGTACAAGCGACGTCTGGTGTTAGCAGCAGGGAGTGAGGTGTAAGCGGTTAGTTTGCATAAGAATCCTGCGTGTATGATTGATCAGTATGGATGCCTCAAGGATTTATCAATCTTTTGCGTTGTTAAAATAGAATACGACGTTTTTAGATCTGTTGAAAACAAACACACACTTAGAATACCGTGCTTTCCAACTATCATACTCGTGGCGATTTCCTGGAAGAATATGTGACCCTATCAATGAATGCTTCTCGGGACATGCTGCTGGGAGAATTGGGTGGGTGCTCACGATTTGCAACCTTGTTAATCTTAACGGATGCTAACTGTGTAGATGGACGCTCCGGCTGTGAATCACTGCATTAGGAAATATTGGATTAAGATTAAGGTTATCACCTGTGGCGAAAAACGATATATAAGCATTATATATAGGCTCTAGTCGACAACGCTTGGCAGAATCCAACATATACGACATGGGTTACTCTCATTAGAGACTTCTTGTTTCAGTATGGATATGGTTTTATTTGGTTACAGCAGAGACTGACTCTAAATTGTACAGGATTTATAAGTGCTTTTAGACAAAGGGTTATTGATATACTTTCACAAATGTGGAAAAATAATCTAAGTTCACTTAGTGAAACAAGAATATATGTTGGCAATGCGCCAATGAAAGTATGTTAAATGTATTTTTCATAATGGCCGTTGGCCTATTAAAGAAATAAACGATTATTGTCAGGCTTGACTCTGTTGTTTACGAACTTCTGTCATGCATCAAGACAATTGTTGATCGGTTGTTCATAGATTATGTTGACGGTGTATACGGTGCGGTGTTGTGATGTCGAGTAACTGGCAATTGTGACGGAGATTTTACCGTCGCTTCAAAACAGAAGGCCTTTACTCTGTGTCGCTACCACTGGCATTTCATGTGTGTCCATACATACTCTGTGCCCATACGTCAAGCGTAACATTCAGCATCAATATTCATTGTAGCCATACAATATTACGTTTATATTCCCAGCAACAAGTTGGTCTGAACACTTCAACGGCAATGCACTTACTTGTCTTCTGATTAGGATGATATTATATTTCTTAAAACTCCTATACGTGAACGTTCCAAGCTGCAAATATGATTTACTGTGCAATTTTGAATTAAATGATATCCTCTAGCAAGAAGGCTGCATTACCATCAACACAGTGCTGACTGATTACACTTAAACTGTCTGATTCATTCATTCATGGAGACCCGTGAAGACCCGGATGAGAACTGATCTTCAGTAACCCATGCTTGTCGTAAGAGGCGACTGACGGGATCGGGTGGTCAGGCTCGCTGGCTTGGTTAACACATGTCATCGTGTTGCAGTTGCGTAGATCGATGCTTATGCTGTTGAACACTGGATTGTCTAGTCCAGACTCGATTATTTACACACCGCCGCCATATAACTGTAATATTGCTGAGTGCTAAACTCACTCACTCACTCATTCATGTAAATTCATTCACTCCTTTATATAAAGATTGCCGACATGATTATCCAGCAAAGGTATTATACCACCATGTACACTGACTACCTTAAATCTATAATCAGAAAATTGTATATTTTTAATTTAAAAGTATAAAATGGCTCTTTCAGCAGAGTGTTTTTGACTGACCAAGGTTTTCTGAGAAAATTAGTTCCTACACGTTCTTTGCATGCATTAGGCTCTAACATTCCAAACGATTTTTATACCTTATAAAATGACCGTGACCTCTCAGTTTTATATGAGATTCGTTTGGAGATACGCATATTCCTCTGTCTAATCCTTTATATACAGAATCTAAAAATAGTTTAAGCTGGACGAATGTTTATTAAGAATTACAAGCTATCAGCATTTATTTATTATTTATTTATTATGATTTCCGACATTATTCCACCGTCCTGTATGTGGAGTATTACTAAGCTTGACATGTAGATAAATGCATCGTCTCATGTAATACATGATAACAAGGGTTTAGCATGACGATTTGTTCCATGTTATGCAATTGGCATACCTGGGAGCAACAGTCATTGTTGCTTCAAACTCAATTTTCGCCCGTGTACCAACCCCCAACTTCCTCCCACTGCCCTCCCTTAACAATATTAAAACAAACACATAACGTACTGGACGAAAGACAGACGAAGAGGCGCCCCTGTTTACCACTACGGGAGAGCTAATGGCTTGGCGCTGGAGCTGGCAGTTGATCCGGCCCTTTTTCATTATTCATTATGGATGTTACTTGTTATAGTTAAAAACTATAGAGTGATGTTACTTGTTATAGTTAAAAACTATAGAGTGATGTTACTTGTTATAGTTAAGAAACTATAGAGTGATGTTACTTGTTATAATTAAAAACTATAGAGTGATGTTACTTGTTATAGTTAAAAACTATAGAGTGATGTTACTTGTTATAGTTAAAAACTATAGAGTGATGTTACTTGTTATAGCTAAGAAACTATAGAGTGATGTTACTTGTTATAATTAAAAACTATAGAGTGATGTTACTTGTTATAGTTAAAAACTATAGAGTGATGTTACTTGTTATAATTAAAAACTATAGAGTGATGTTACTTCTTATAGTTAAAAACTATAGAGTGATGTTACTTGTTATAGTTAAGAAACTATAGAGTGATGTTACTTGTTATAATTAAGAAACTATAGAGTGTTGTTACTTGTTATAGTTAAGAAACTATAGAGTGATGTTACTTGTTATAGTTAGAAACTATAGAGTGATGTTACTTGTTATAATTAAAAACTATAGAGTGATGTTACTTGTTATAATTAAAAACTATAAAGTGATGTTACTTGTTATAGTTAAGAAACTATAAAGTGATGTTACTTGTTATAGTTAAGAAACTATAGAGTGATGTTACTTGTTATAATTAAAAACTATAGAGTGATGTTACTTGTTATAGTTAAGAAACTATAGAGTGATGTTACTTGTTATAGTTAAGAAACTATAGAGTGATGTTACTTGTTATAGTTAAGAAACTATAGAGTGTTCCTTGCAATGTAGAAAAACAAACATAACATGCACACGTGCCCACCAATCCTACTTCACAAATGAGTGCATGTATTGGTTGTTGCTGTTTGAAACACAACGCAAAGGACGCTGTTTCGGCCTTGACCCTGGGTTTCGCGTTTCCGTCTTTGATCTGTCAATAACAGCTGAATTTGCAGATGATTTCAAGACAAATTATCTCGAGTCATGTAAGGTAAAACTACAAGAACAGTGTTTTAAACTTAAATGACCGCCTTTGGAAAAAAAGCACGTTCCGCTCTCGCAACATTTATTTTAATGTAGCCGTTCGAATAAGGAAGGTTTCAAAGTAACTTTTAGGCGAAGTTAGCTTCGGTCAAACGGCTCTGATGTGTGTTTCCTTCTTTACGTTGCTTATCCATGACCGCTCTCTCTACCAACCGACATATGTCCACTATCTCCATCATCCAACACATGTCAGCTTTAACGACCAACCAACATATGTCCGCTCTCTCAATCAACCAACACATGTCCACTCGCTCCACCAACCAACACATGTCCGCTCTCTCAACCAACAAACACATGTTCGCTCTCTCAATCAACAAACACATGCCCACTCGCTCCACCTAGAAACACATGTCCGCTCTCTCAGTCAACCAACACATGTTCGCTCTCTCACTACAAACAACACATGTCGCTCTCACTCGTTCATATGTCCGCTCTCACAACCAACCAACACATGTCCACTCGCTCCACCAACCAACACATGTCTGCTCTCTTAATCATCCAACACGTGTCCCCTAGCTCCACCAAGCAACACATGTCCGCTCTCTCAATCATCCAACTTATGTTCGCTCTCTCAATCATCCAACACATGTCCGCTCTCTCAATCATCCAACACATGTCCGCTCTCTCAATAAAAAGCACATGTCCACTCTCTCAACCAACCAACACATGTCCGCTCTTACAACCAACCAAAACATGTCCGCTCTTACAAGCAAACAAAACGTGTCCACTCGCTCCACCAATCAACATATATCCGCTCTTACAACCAACCAACACATGTTCACTCGCCCCAACAACCAACATATGTCCGCTCTCTCAATCAACCAACACATGTCCACTCTCTCAATCAACCAACACATGTCCACCTTCTCTATCAACCAACACATGTCCGCTTACTCAATCAACCAACACCTGTCCTATCTCTCAATCTCCCAACACATGTCCGCTCCACCAACCAACACACTACAACCAACCAACACATGTCCGCTCTTACACTATAGAAACACATGTCCGCTCTTACAGCCAATCAACACGTACGCACTTACAACAATTCAACAGATGTCTGCTCTCTCAACCAACCAACACATGTCCACTCACTCCACCAACCAACACGTCTGCTCTCTCAATCAGCCAACATATGTCTACTTTCTCAATCAACCAACACATGTCCACTCTCCCAATCAACCAAAACATGTCCACTCTCTCAATCAACCAACACATGTCCACTCTCTCAGTCAACCAACCAGCACATGTCTGCTCTCTCAATCAACCAACACATGTCCGCTCTCTCAACCAGCCAACCCATGTCCACTCACTCCACCAACCAACACGTCCACTCTTACAACCAACACACACATGTCCGTTCTTACAACCAACCAACACATGCCCGCTTTCTCAACCAACCAACACATGTCCGCTCTCTCAATCAACCAACGAACACATGTCCGCTCTCTCAATCAACCAACACTTGTCCGCTCTCTCAACCAGCCAACCCATGTCCACTCACTCCACCAACCAACGCGTCCACTCCTACAACCAACACACACATGTCCGTTCTTACAACCAACCGACACATGCCCGCTCTCTCAACTAACCACACATGTCCGCTCTCTCAATCAACCAAGACATGTTCACTCTTACATCCAATCAACACGTCCGCTCTTACAACCAACCAACACATGTCCACTCACTCCACCAACCAACACATGTCCGCTCTTACAACCAACCAACATATGTCCGCTCTTACAACCAACCAACATGTGTCCGCTCTTACACTAAACAAACACATGTCCGCTCTTACAGCCAATCAACACGTACGCACTTACAACAATTCAACAGATGTCTGCTCTCTCAACCAACCAACACATGTCCACTCACTCCACCAACCAACACGTCTGCTCTCTCAATCAACCAACTCAAGTCCACTTTCTCAACCAACCAACACATGTCCACTCTCCCAATCAACCAACACATGTCCGCTCTCTCAATCAACCAACACATGTCCGCTCTCTCAACCAGCCAACCCATGTCCGCTCACTCCACAAACCAACATGTCCACTCTTACAACCAACGCACACATGTCCGTTCTTACAACCAACCAACACATGTCCGCTCTCTCAACCAACCAACACATGTCCGCTCTCTCAATCAACCAACACGTGACCTATCTCTCAATCAACCAACACATGTTCACTCTTACAACCAATCAACACGTCCGCTCTTACAACCAACCAACACATGTCCACTCGCTCCACCAACCAAGACATGTCCGCTCTTACAAGCAACCAACACATGTCCACTCTTACAACCAACCAACACATGTCCACTCACTCAACCAACCAACACATGTCTGCTCTCTCAATCAACCAACACAAGTCCACTTTCTCAATCAACCAACACATGTCCACTCTCTCAATCAACCAACGAACACATGTCCGCTCTCTCAATCAACCAACACGTCTGCTCTCTCAACCAACCAACACATGTCCGCTCACTCCACAAACCAATACGTCCGCTCTTACAACCAACGCACACATGTCCGTTCTTACAACCAACCAACACATGCCCGCTCTCTCAACCAACCAACACATGTCCGCTCTCTCAATCAACCAACACATGTCCTATCTCTCAATCAACCAACACATGTTCACTCTTACAACCAATCAACACGTCCACTCTTACAACCAACCAACACATGTCCACTCGCTCCACCAACCAACACATGTCCGTTCTTACAACCAACCAACACATGTCCACTCTTACAACCAATCAACACGTCCGCTCTTACAACCAACCAACACATGTGCACTCGCTCCACCAACCAACACGTCTGCTCTTACAACCAACCAACACATGTCCGCTCTCTCAATCAACCAACACATGTCCGCTCTCTCAATCAACCAACACATGTCCGCTCTCTCAACCACCACATGTCCACTCGCTCCACCAACCAACACATGTCCGCTCTTACAACCAACCAACACATGATCACTCGCTCCACCAACCAACACATGTCCGCTCTTACAACCAACTAACACATGTCCACTCTTACAACCAACCAACACATGTCCGATCTTGCAACCAACCAAAACATGTCCACTCGCTCCACCAACCAAGACATGTCCGTTCTTACAACCAACCAACACATGTCCACTCTTACAACCAACCAACACATGTCCGCTCTTGCAACCAACCAAAACGTGTCCGCTCTTGCAACCAACCAAAACGTGTCCGCTCTTGCAACCAACCAAAACGTGTCAACTCGCTCCAGCAACCAAATAAAGATCCCTGTCTCTACCAACCAACACATGTCTCTATTCTCACTGCAAACAAATGGCCCGAGTTCGACTGTTTCAGTGTTGCCGCTCACACTGTCCACTTAGTTACATATGTGTCCACATTCACTCCTCGGCTTTTTCCTCCCACTGTCTTTTTCGGACAAGTCGCATTGTCTGCCGAGCCAAACATAACGTGATCAAGGCGTCGACAGCTACACAAATGGCCATCCGCCCACAAGGAAGATCTCACAGAACAGGGCAGTTGTACACATTCTCTGCGTCCACACACAAATCAAGGCAAACCAGAATGGAGCATAGAAAGAGATAAACGATTTATTTGAGAATGATAAAGAATGACATCAATGGAGAGTAAGACAAGTCGGACAATGGCCCATCGCTACGATATAGAGAAATACCAACAAATGACACACAGACACAGAATATAAAGAGCGCCTGGGAGCACTTCCCGCCGGGCGCTGCGTCGTCTTGTCACGTGACTACTACGTCACGTTGTCCTTCAGCCAAACAGCAATCTTCTCATAATACGTCTCCATCCATTTGATATTGGATCTGAAAGGCAGATACGTATATAGAGGCATAACAGTCGTCACCACTGATCTCCACGGCGTCACCCCCTCACAATACCTGCATCTGTTTTGTTTGGATATGTATCAGTTTCCCACGGCTCTCAGGGACATGCGTTGATGTTGGTTGGTTGGTTGTTTAACGCCGCACTCAGCAATATTCTAGCAATACGGCGGCGGTCTGTAAATAATCGAGTCTGAACCAGACAATCAAGTGATCAACATCATGATCAACCCAATTGGGAACTGATGACATGTGTCAACCAAGTCAGCGAGTCTGACCACCCGATCCCGTTAGTCACCTCTTACGACAAGCATGGATTACGGGTTGTCTGGGTTATATACAAGCCATGTCACCCAAGACACTGGTACACACACCTGACTATGTTATAGGTTTGCTTTATGCCTTCAGGCTTTGGTTCGAATCGAGCACCACAGTCAGGCATTCATAGCGACGACAATAAGACACAAAACACACTGTTCAGTTAGAACCGCTAGATCATATTTCTTTGGCAAAAAGTCGTATATAACTGGAGAACGAGCTCTAGCATCCTGAATTCCATTACAATTAAGGCCGGGTATGTTGTAAACGCTGTGCCAACAGTTTGCCAGTTTAAGACTGGGTACGTGAATGATGATAGCATGTATCTCACCCTGTCAGAACCCAGCATCCATGTGTTAGGTAAGACAGACGGCCTATTGAGACTCATACCCTTGCTCAGATGTCCACAATATTCAACAATAGGGGCATATAGGTTATCACGCGAGTGTGTTTTGGGATTGTATATATCCTGCATTAGGAATAATCATTGTATTTAGCGAGCCTTGGCGAGCTAAATACATAGTGTTTATTCCAAATGCACGATATTAACCATCCCAAAACACACGAGTGTAATAACCTATTTATCATACAATGTCATTTTTGCATTATAATTTTAAAAAATGCGATTTCAAATGCCACAAATCATGAAACTAAACTTCGTGGAATGTCTATGACGTCACAAATATGTGCGGGTAATACGTTACGTCACAAGCCCGGTGACATCATTTTCTCCTGATCACTCAGCGGTCATCTAGTTCCCAGTAAGCTTTTATGCTAAAGCACGTATTGTTGTCAACAAATCTTAGCTTACGTTTGAAAAATAACAACAAACTCACGTGGAACTTCAGAAACCTTCAATTAACCTTTTGAACAACCAAATACGTTTTAATGTTACCGTGACACTGTGCACCGTTCTCTCGCTAACACTGACAGTCGGTCGGGGAACCGATGTTGGCATCTTCGTAAGCCTGTGAATTTCTATCTTCGCTTTGTAATCTACTCCATCTATCAAAACAAGGCATGAATTTTCTGGGATCAAAGCACTGACAGTACCGTAAGTTACGAGTAACCACGGCCGTTAATCCGGACACGACCGCCTATCCTTGATACCATGTTTGTTTACACTGTGAAAGTAGTCCCTGAAATTTGCATATGACCTCTCTAATTTGCATCGATATCCGTATATGACCCCAACGGATACCGAAAATATCCGTTGGCTTTATCCTGCTGAGAGCACTATCCATTGTATGATAAACAAAGATATTACGTTTGTATATGCCGTATGAAACTATTATTAAGCTTTTACCCTCGATTTTGTCTTAGATTACTATTATTTCTTAACACACAGTCTGTAATTTCCATATATATTTACTAAACATACCTAAAATCCAGAGCGGCTGTTTGACTTACAATCAAAACCTGTAACATTCGTCCAAACGATCAGTGTACAACAAGATACCCATGTCAACACTGCCGCTGTAAGGACACATGCACTGATCACAGGGTTGACACAAATCACGTACACTGTCCAATCTTAGGTCAGATCTCGCGCAACCCATCAGCAGGGTCACGTGAAGTATTCACCTCGTTAGTGCCAGGGTCACGTGAAGTACTCACCTCGTCAGTGCCAGGGTCACGTGAAGTACTCACCTCGTCAGTGCCAGGGTCACGTGAAGTACTCACCTCGTTAGTGCCAGGGTCACGTGAAGTACTCACCTCGTTAGTGCCAGGGCGTTTTCCGCGGCTTTAGATGCTGTCTTAGGTGGGGTTTCTTTGAATATGGTCTCCAACTACAACACAAACAGTGGGGTTGTCAGCAGGCCACTTGCAGCAGTGAGTGAGTGAGTTTTATGCCGCTTTTAGCAATATTCCAGCAATATCACGGCGGGGGACACCAGAAATTGGCTACACACATTGTAACCATGTGGGGAATCTAACCCGGCGTGACGAGCGGACGCTTTAACCACTAGGCTACCCCTCTGTCCCCACTTTTAGCAGAACTTCACCAGTAAGCTCGGCGAGTTGTGTCAGTGTAGGAACTCTCACACTCAACGTTGCATATTGTATATCCTGCTGGTGTTAATTGGGGCATAGGATGTTTCACTAATACTGCTCACTTCCCCATTTCTTATGTATACACAAAGCCGTATACATACGTACATATGTACTATCTGGACTAGCATTTTCAAAAAGGTACACATGTAACACCACCAACAGATAGAGCCAACTGACACTGTTGGCGTACATGTAACACCAGCAACAGATAGAGCCAACTGAGAGTGTTGGCTTACATGAAACACCAGCAACAGATACAGCTAACTGACAGTGTCGGCTTACATGTGACACCGGCAACATATAGACCCAATTGACAGTGTAGGCTTACATGTCACACAAGCAACAGATAGAGCCTACTGACAGTGTTGGCTTACATGTAACACCAGCAACAGATAGAGCCAACTGACTGTTGGCGTACATGTAACACCAGCAACAGATAAAGCCAACTGACCGTGTTGGCTAACATTTAACACAAGCAACAGATAGAGCCAATAGATAATGTCGGTTTACATGTAACACCAGCAACAGATAGAGCCAACTGACAGTGTTGGCTTACATGTAACACCAGCAAAAGAAAGAGCCAACTGACAGTGTTGGCTTACATGTAACACAAGCAACAGAACAGCCAACTGACAGTTTCGGCTTATATGTAACACCAGCAACAGATAGAGCTAACTGACAGTGTCGGCTTATATGTAACACCAGCAACAGATAGAACCAATTGACAGTGTCGGCTTACATGTGGCACCAGCAACAGATAAAGCAAAAAGACAGTGCTGGCTTACATGTTACACCAGCAAAAGATAGTGCTAACTGACATTGTTGGCTTACATGTAACACCAGCAACAGATAGAGCCAACTGACAGTGTTGGCGTACATGTAACACCACCAACAGATAGAGCTTACTGACAGTGTTGACGTACATGTAACACCAGTAACAGATAGAGCTAATTGAAAGAGTAGGCATTCATGTTACACTAGCAACAGATAGAGCCAACTGACAGTGTCGGCTTATATGTAACACCAGCAACAGATAGAGCCAACTGACAGTGTCGGCTTACATGTGACACCAGCAACAGATAAAGCAAAAAGACATTGCTGGCTTACATGTGACACGAGCAACAGATAGTGCTAACTGACAGTGTTGACTAAGATGTAACACCAGCAACAGATAGAGCCAACTGACTGTTGGCGTAAATGTAACACCAGCAACAGATAAAGCCAACTGACCGTGTTGGCTAACATTTAACACAAGCAACAGATAGAGCCAATAGATAATGTCGGTTTACATGTAACACCAGCAACAGATAGAGCCAACTGACAGTGTTGGCGTACATGTAACACCAGCAACAGATAGAGCTAACTGACAGTGTTGGCTTACATGTAACACCAGCAACAGATAGAGCTAACTGACAGTGTTGGCTTACATGTAACACCAGCAACAGATAGAGCCAACTGACAGTGTCGGCGTACATGTAACACCAGCAACAGATAGAACCAACTGACAGTGTTGGCTTACATGTAACACCAGCAACAGATAGAGCCAACTGACAGTGTTGGCGTACATGTAACACCAGAAACAGATAGTGCTAACTGACAGTGTTGGCTTACATGTAACACCAGCAACAGATAGAGCTAACTGACAGTGTCGGCATACAAGTGACACCAGCAACATATAGAACCAACTGACAGTGTTGGCTTACATGTAACACCAGCAACAGATAGAGCCAACTGACAGTGTTGGCGTACATGTAACACCAGAAACAGATAGTGCTAACTGACATTGTTGGCTTACATGTAACACCAGCAACAGATAGAGCCAACTGACAGTGTTGGCGTACATGTAACACCAGAAACATGTACAGCATAGATAGTGCTAACTGACAGTGTTGGCTTACATGTAACACCAGCAACAGATAGAGTCAACTGACAGTGTTGGCGCACATGTAACACCAGGCTAACAGATAGTGCAACTGACATTGTGTCGGCTTACATGTGACACCGGCAACATATAGAGCATTGACAGTGTAACACCAGCAACAGATAGAGCCAACTGACAGTGTTGGCTTACATGTACATGTAACACCAGAAAGATAGAGCTAACTGACAGTGTTGGCTTACATGTAACACCAGCAACAGATAGAGCAAACTGACAGTGTTGGCTTACATGTAACACCAGCAACAGATAGAGCTAATTGAACTGACACCAGCAACAGATAGAGCAAACTGACAGCTTACATGTAACACCAGCAACAGATAGAGCAACTGACAGTGTCGGCTTATATGTAACACCAGCAACATATAGAGCCAATTGACAGTGTCTGCTTACATGTGACACCAGCAACAGATAGAGCCAACTGACAGACACTCCTTACATGTGACACCAGCAACAGATAGAGCTAACTGACAGTGTCTGGCTTTTATGTGACACCAGGAACAGATAGAGCCAACTGACAGTGTCGGCTTTAATAGAGCTGACACCAGCAACAGATAGAGCTAATTGAAAGAGTAACTGACAGCAACAGATAGAGCCAACTGACATGTCGGCTTATATGTAACACCAGCAACAGATAGAGCCAACTGACAGTGACGGCTTACATGTGACACACCAGCAACAGACACCAGCAACAGATAGTGCTAATTGACATTGTTGGCTTACATGTAACACCAGCAACAGATAGAGCTAACTGACAGAGTCGGCTTATATGTGACACCAGCAACAGACAGAGACAATTGACAGTGTCGGCTTATATGTGACACCAGCAACAGATAGAGCCAATTGACTGTGTCGGCTTACATATGACACCAGCAACAGATAGAGCCAACTGACAGTGTTGGCTTACATGAAACACCAGCAACAGATACAGCTAACTGACAGTGTCGGCTTACATGTGACACCAGCAACATATAGAGCCAATTGACAGTGTAGGCTTACATGTCACACAAGCAACAGATAGAGCCTACTGACAGTGTTGGCTTACATGTAACACCAGCAACAGATAGAGCAAACTGACAGTGTTGACTAAGATGTAACACCAGCAACAGATAGAGCCAACTGACAGTGTTGGCGTACATGTAACACCAGCAACAGATAAAGCCAACTGACCGTAATGGCTAACATTTAACACAAGCAACAGATACAGCTAACTGACAGTGTCGGCTTACATGTGACACCGGCAACATATAGAGCCAATTGACAGTGTAGGCTTACATGTCACAAAAGCAACAGATAGAGCCTACTGACAGTGTTGGCTTACATGTAACACCACCAACAGATAGAGCAAACTGACAGTGTTGACTAAGATGTGACACCAGCAACAGATAGAGCAAACTGACAGTGACGGCTTACACGTAACACTAGCAAAAGATAGAGCTAACTGACAGTGTCGGTTTATATGTAACACCAGCAACATATAGAACCAATTGACCGTGTCGGCTTACATGTGACACCAGCAAAAGATAAAGCAAAAAGACATTGCTGACTTACATGTTACACCAGCAACAGATAGTGCTAACTGTCATTGTTGGCTTACATGTAACACCAGCAACAGATAGAGCCAACTGACAGTGTTGGCGTACATGTAACTCCAGCAACAGATAGAGCTTACTGGCAGTGTTGGCGTACATGTAACACCAGCAACAGATAGAGCTAGTTGAAAGTGTTGGCATTCATGTTACACCAGCAAAAGATAGAGCAAACTGACAGTGACGGCTTACATGTAACACCAGCAACAGATAGAGCTAACTGACAGTTTCGGCTTATATGTAACACCAGCAACAGATAGAGCTAACTGACAGTGTCGGCTTATATGTAACACCAGCAACATATAGAACCAATTGACAGTGTCGGCTTACATGTGACACCAGCAGCAGATAAAGAAAAAAGACAGTTTTGGCTTACATGTTACACCAGCAAAAGATAGTGCTAACTGACATTGTTGGCTTACATGTAACACCAGCAACAGATAGAGCCACCTGACAGTGTTGGCGTACATGTAACACCACCAACAGATAGAGCTTACTGACAGTGTTGACGTAAATGTAACACCAGCAACAGATAGAGCTAATTGAAAGAGAAGGCATTCATGTTACACTAGCAACAGATAGAGCCAACTGACAGTGTCGGCTTATATGTAACACCAGCAACAGATAGAGCCAACTGACAGTGTCGGCTTACATGTGACACCAGCAACAGATAAAGCAAAAAGACATTGCTGGCTTACATGTGACACCAGCAACAGATAGTGCGAACTGACATTGTTGGCTTACATGTAACACCAGCAACAGATAGAGCCAACTGACAGTGTTGGCGTACATGTAACACCAGCAACAGATAGTGCTTACTGACAGTGTTGGCGTACATGTAACACCACCAACAGATAGAGCTAATGGAAAGTGTAGGCATTCATGTTACACTAGCAACAGATAGAGCTAACTGACAGTGTTGGCTTATATGTAACACCAGCAACAGATAGAGCAAACTGACAGTGACTGCTTACATGTGACACCAACAACAGATAGAGCCAACTGACAGTGTTGGCTTACATGTAACACCAGCAACAGATAGTGCTAACTGACAATGTCGGCTGACATGTAACACCAGCAACAGATAGAGCCAACTGACAGTGACTGCTTACATGTGACACCAACAACAGATGGAGCCAATTGACAGTGTTGGCTTATATGTAACACCAGCAACATAAAGAACCAATTGACAGTGTCGGCTTACATATGACACCAGCAAGAGAGAAAGCAAAAATACATTGCTGACTTACATGTTACACCAGCAACAGATAGTGTTAACTGACATTGTTGGCTTACATGTAACACAAGCAACAGATAGAGCCAACTGACAGTGTTGGCGTACATGTAACTCCAGCAACAGATAGAGCATACTGACAATGTTGGCGTACATGTATCACCAGCAACAGATAGAGCTAATTGAAAGTGTTGGCATTCATGTTACACCAGCAAAAGATAGAGCAAACTGACAGTGACGGCTTACATGTAACACCAGCAACAGATAGAGCTAACTGACAGTGTCGGCTTATATGTAACACCAGCAACAAGTAGAGCCTACTGACAGTGTCTGCTTACATGTGACACCAGCAACAGATAGAGCCAACTGACAGTGACTCCTTACATGTGACACCAGCAACAGATAGAGCTAGCTGACAGTGTCTGCTTTTATGTGACACCAGGAACAGATAGAGCCAATTGACAGTGTCGGCTTTAATCTGACACCAGCAACAGATAGAGCCAACTGACAGTGTTGGCTTACATGTAACACCAGCAACAGGTAGAGGAAACCGACAGTGACGGCTTACACGTGACACCAGCAACAGATAGAGCCAATTGACAGTGTCGGCTTACATGTGACACCAGCAACAGATAAAGCCAACTGACAGTGTCGTCTTACATGTAACACCAGCAACAGATAGAGTCAACTGACAGTGATGGATTACATGTAACACCAGCAACATATAGAGCCAATTGACAGTGTTGGTGTACATGTAACACCAGCAACAGATAGAACTAACTGACAGTGTTGGCGTACATGTAACACCAGTAACAGATAGAGCCAACTGACAGTGTTGGCATACATGTAACACCAGCAACAGATAGAGCAAACTGACAGTGACGGCTTACATGTAACACAAGCAACAGATAGAGCTAAATGACAGTGTCGGCTTACATGTGATACCAGCAAAAGATAGAGTCAATTGATAGTGTCGGCTTACATCTGACACCAACAACAGATAGAGCCAACTGACAGTGTTGGCTTACATGTAACACCAGCAACAGATAGAGCAAACTGGCAGTGTTGGTGTACATGTAACACCAGCAACAGATAGAGCTTACTGACAGTGTTGGCGTACATGTAACACCAGCAACAGATAAAGCAAAAAGACAGTGTTGGCTTACATCTTACACCATAAACGGATAGTGTTAACTGACATTGTTGGCTTACATGTAACACAAGCAACAGATAGAGCTTACTGACAGTGTTGGCGTACATGTAACACCAGCAACAGATAAAGATAATTGAAAGTGTTGGCATTCATGTTACACCAGCAACAGATAGAGCAAACTGACAGTGACGGCTTACATGTAACACCACCAACACATAGAGCTAACTGACAGTGACTGCTTACATGTGACACCAGCAACGGATAGAGCCAACTGACAGTGCTGGCTTACATGTAACACCAGCAACAGATAGAGCCAACTGACAGTGACGGCTTACATGTATTACCAGCAACAGATAGAGCCAACTGACAGTGTTGGCTTACATGTAACACCAGCAACAGATAGTGCTAACTGACAGTGTCGGCTTACATGTGACACCAGCAACAGATAGAGCCAATTGACAGTGACGGCTTACATGTGACACCAGCAACAGATAGAGCCAACAGAAAGTGACTGCTTACATCTGACAAAAGCAACAGATAGAGCCAACTGACAGTGTTGGCTTACATGTAACACCAGCAACAGATAGAGCAAACTGACAGTGACGGCTTACATGTGATAACAGCAATAGATAGAGCCTACAGCTAATGTGTGTGGAACTGTAAACATAAGGCCGCCTGATATGTGACCGCTGTGGGAAATGAGGGTCACTTACCTGACGTAGATGGAACTCGGAGTTAACAAATGACGTCACAGTCGGGATCACTTCGGGCAATAAAAACGGATCGTGACCAAATCTGCAACGAGAAAAAAACAGAATATGCCTAACTGGCAATGGACCTTTGGGACCGTATAAATGTCAATATCTTCCTTAATGTGACATCATAGCATTATATGAGACGATTTCACCACACGGTCACACATATATACGTCCTGACAGTAATGTGTAATAAACCAAGTTTCTTGTTCATCTGGACGAGTAACAGAATAGGACACCAAACCATTTCCATGCTTACCTGCTGACAAGGTCCTTCCATCTGATCATGTGCTGTCTCTCCGTTGTTACCTACCTGCTGACAAGGTCCTTCCATTTGATCATGTGCTGTCTCTCCGTTGTTACCTACCTGCTGACAAGGTCCTTCCATTTGATCATGTGCTGCAACTCCGTTGTTACCTGCCTGCTGACAAGGTCCTTCCATCTGAGCATGTGCTGCAACTCCGTTGTTACATGCCTGCTGACAAGGTCCTTCCATCTGAGCATGTGCTGTCTCTCCGTTGTTACCTACCTGCTGACAAGGTCCTTCCATCTGATCATGTGCTGTCTCTCCGTTGTTACCTACCTGCTGACAAGGTCCTTCCATCTGATCATGTGCTGTCTCTCCGTTGTTACCTACCTGCTGACAAGGTCCTTCCATCTGATCATGTGCTGTCTCTCCGTTGTTACCTACCTGTTGACAAGGTCCTTCCACCTGGTCATGAAGAACTCCAGCGCCACAGAGCGAGCCAGAGGTGTCTTTGTGAAGTAGGTCATCACAACACGGACATCCTGCTTCTTGATCTTGCTCGGATCAAACACCCAGTTAGCGTACCTGTTGCAACGCAACTATGGCTGGTTACTTATAACATTGGCGTATTCCTGACACTACCACATCAATTTATACTTAATCTAAGCATAAAACACTATCTACCTTTATCCTGTTCTCCACCTTTACAACACTATGATTCAACCAAACCCACTGTCCCCTCTATAAAGTACTTTCTCTCCCTTCAACTCACTGTTTCCTCCACAAAGTGGTATGTGTCCCTTCAACCCACTGTCCCCTCTATAAAGTACTTTCTCTCCCTTCAACTCACTGTTTCCTCCACAAAGTGGTATGTGTCCCTTCAACCCACTGTGCCCTCTATAAAGTACTTTCTCTCCCTTCAACCCACTGTTTCCTCCACAAAGTGGTATGTGTCCCTTCAACCCACTGTCCCCTCTATAAAGTACTTTCTCTCCCTTCAACCCACTGTTTCCTCCACAAAGTGATATGGCTCCCTTCAACCCACTGTCCCCTCTATAAAGTACTTTCTCTCCCTTCAACCCACTGTTTCCTCCACAAAGTGATATGACTCCCTTCAACCCACTTTCCCCTCTATAAAGTACTTTCTCTCCCTTCAACCCACTGTTTCCTCCACAAAGTGATATGACTCCCTTCAACCCACTGTCCCCTCCATAACATACTATGACTCCCTTCAACTTATCTATTTACTTACTTACTTACTTACTTACTTACTTACTTACTTACTTACTTACTTACTTACTTACTTATCAACGGAAGCTGGTTGCCAGGCACGCTGACTTGGTTAATACATGTCATCCTATCCCAAATTGCGTCGATCGATGCTCATGCTGTTGATCACTGGATTGTCTGGTCAAGGCTCGACTACTTACAGACCGCCGTCATATAGCATGGCTATTGCTAACAACAAACAAACAAATCCATCAGTAACTCACCTCCAAAGCAGCCATGGCTTCTGTGTCTGTGCAAGGGCTTCCATCATTATTTGTCTCTCAGATGCCACCGATGTGGACTGCGCCTTCTCCCACACGAAGTCCCACTCGTCCGTCCCGCCCTCACGGATCCCAACGGAGTAGATGAGCACGGACAGGTCAGCGGCGAGGCTGGGGGCGACATAATCCGAATATGGTGCACATTTTCAACAGACACTGTCTAAATACAGCGACAGTGAGAACAGACACCACATCTCATATGACAACATACCATTTGATCCTGGCAGGAGCTGTGACTGTAAAAATTACGGATTTGGTTATCTCTGTGAAGACGCTGAATTCCTCCCAACTTCTAAATCCGGTCTGGATTAACCAGGTATGTTGCTTGACATTGTCAGTCAGAAACGACAGGATATTGGTGACTTCACTCACATTACAGTTTGTATATGGTACGCGTTACTGCACGAGTCTACTCACACTGTATTGTACGTCTTCCAGGCATTGAATGTAGACTTGGCATATTTGACGGCGTTCCCCACGCCCACGTCACAAGCCATTCCTAGGATGATACGGTGGAGGTACCTGTAACAAATGATTACACTAGTCAGTGGACGTCAAGTCGAGGTAAATTATTTACTGTATCTTATATGAGGCTAAATCGCTAATCCCTTAAATCCTTACTTGTTATGTTTTGTTTTCATTTCCAGATTGTCCGCATAGGTGTTCATTACAATTATGTACTTTCTCTTCGAAGACAATCTGCCACTCAGCTGTAACTGTTTAAGAAAATAAATGCATTTCCCGCAGCGTAGAAATGAGCAGAAAATGACTCACTTGTCCGGCAGTGATCCTTTGACGTATGTGGCTGTGTTGTACACGGGTGTGACGAGGTCTCGCAGGTATTGCTGGACAACAGAAGTAGATATGTATATACCGGACATAGCAGCAACATGTACGTGCATCACTCACTGCTTGAACCAGAGATTTACAACATCTGGGATTTGAGTCAGAACATACAAGGACTGCCCTTACGTCCAGGACGTAGCTTTACTCACTTGTAGGTAGACGTACGCCTCCTTGGTCGCAATCATGCCTCGCAGGAACTCAATGGAGTCCACAAAAGCTCGCCAGGGGACGTAATTCAGTTCGTTCTTGAGGTAGCGGGTGAGGTTAAGAGCAATGTCGTAGTCCAACAAGTTGGCTCTGAAGTGGTACAATGCACACAGTCAGGTACACCTGTCTACTTGTTAGCATTGTCAGAATATACTAAACTATACGGAAAAGCTTTGTGTAGCTGGGAAGAAGCTGAGGCAGTCCGCAAGTTTGGAAGTTTGGGAAAGATAAATTGCCAAGTTTGGGAAAACTAAATTGCCATTTAGCGAGGACACTAGACTAGCGGGATCAGTTACCATAACTGTTCTCGTGACTCTGTGGCTCTGGGCCTTTTCCGGAATCCATAAACACTTTGGGCCGAATATGCCTGAAGTGTCAACATGTTTCAGTTTTGCCATATACAGTGATAATAACCGATATTTCTATTACTCGAAGTATGGACACAAATCGCAAAGTGTGCTATCCATACATTAGAACATAGTTGAACTTTGAGCACGTTGTTACGTTCCGACTGCTCATCGCCATTCACGAGACTCTGCAAGTAGCCATATTTAGCTGCGTACGTTCAGCGTACGTATGTTACCAGCACGAGCTGAAAGAAAACAAGCTCTGAGCTGAACATCGGTGTTCAAAGTGTATCTACGTGGGACCCGGTTAGGTTGTAAGGAATGTCGAAACTCCCATCCTCTCTATATTTTAAGATTTTAATATGACAACTGGACATTTGGCATATGCTCCTAAACACCATGATCAAGATGGTATATCGTCAACCATTTAGACAAACATCGCTGATCTACTGTTCACAGGTACAGGTATCGTGGGTTAATGGTGACACCTATTTCCTTCCCGATAGCACCTTGTCCCGGGTGCTGACACGTACATAGTTGCCATAGTAACTAAGATGTCTGCAGGGAGACCAGACGTACCTGGCGAGGGCGAAGGCATCCCCGATCAAACCCGCTCTGTTGGCCTCTGAGAACACCTGCTCCAACACGAGAACATACAGGATTAGTGGAAAATACACACATCGCATGTTGGGTGTGTCCAGTGAGGTGCCACGCCCATAGCTTCAACTACTGTGTGCCGATTTGAACGTGGTTGGGTTGTTGTGCGGGATGACGGTCTGTGAATGTATGTGACGGGGTTTCAGGAGGATGTTGTGGGAATGTGAGAGTGCGTGACGGGAATGTGAATGTGCGTGACGGGGTTTCAGGAGGATGTTGTGGGAATGTGAGTGCGTGATGGAGATGTAAGTGTGGCTGACGGAGTTGCGTGTGTCTGTGACGTGAATGTGAGTGTGGGTGAGGGGGATGTGAGTGGACGTGACGGGGATGTGTGTTTGCGTGACGGGGATGTAAGTGGACGTGACGGGGATGTGTGTTTGCGTGACGGGGATGTGAGTGTGCGTGACGGGAACGTGAGTGCACGTGACGGGGATGTGTGTTTGCGTGACGGGGATGTGAGTGGACGTGAAAGATTAGTGAACGTGCTGAGACTTACGGTGTGGTTGTACAGCAGCTGATCTCCTAGTCTCATCCACATGTCCTTCTCGTAGTTGACGCGGAAGAATCCCATGTAGTCAACATTGCCCAGCACCCAGCCTTCAGTCCGGTTAATTGTGGCTGAAACAATATCGCCATCATCATGTTAAGGTTTACATCTTAGATTGGCCGATCTTAGTTAAACCAAGACGTTTTCTTCTAGGAACAGGGATATCAAAAGCGGATTCTTTAACTTATAAGACCGTCCACTGTGTCAGAATGAGGAACGCGACTGGTTGACTGGGGTACACAGTCTGATGGTACGACTCTGGCAGACTGATGTAGAGCGTCGTGCACTGGTAAAATAAGAGTGGATTCTTAACATGATTCAAGAAACTTGGAGCATGAACCGAACCTTAATTTACTGGACCGATATGAATGGTACTAATGCATGTTATGTTTATAATACAAACGACGACCTCATGTACACAGATAACGGCGACTTTGTGTGGAAGGCCTTGAGCGTGGGTGATGGCGTGTACATACCTGCCTCCAGATTGAGCCAGACCTTCCGGACATTTCTGTCGTACTGGATGATGTAGGTGAAGGGGATGTACCACCGGTACCTGCAGCCACACACAAACACACATCGTTACACACGTGACAAGAAACACTTTTCAGCAACGCAAGTTAACTAACCTGTGATCTACCTCATCTTTATTCCAATCTAATAAACATAGCTAGATAACGTGTGATACTTTAGAAATGAGGAACTCTCCTGAACATAACAAACCACAATCAACGATCGTGTTCTGTTAAAATGCGTTAAGTATAGATAACATACTGGACATGTTTAATCGTAAAAAGGCTTTGTGTGAACACACAAAAAGTAAAGTTGTACCTGTACAAAGCCCTAACGTCTGGAACGGGATTCAAACACAAAATCCTAATATAATATTCTAAACATATTAAACCTTAAGAGGACACATAAACTCTGTATTGAGGTGAGGTGAAATTGGGTTTAAGGTCGTGCTTGAGAATATTTCACTCATATGACGACGTGCATGCGTGTGTATGTGTATGTGCGGCTGCTTGTACTTGCCCAGACTGAAGCTGGTTTTATAGTGCTAGCCCACTGAGATACCATGCCGCAGTGAAGCATGAATACCCCACTCAGATACATTATACTGACTCCGAGCCGACCAGTCCTTGTTGTACCCATTCATGCCGAGCGCCAGGCATGGACCAACAAGTACCATATTTTAACGTCTTTTGGTATGACGCGGTCGGGGATCGAACCCACGACCTTCCGCTCTCCGGGCGGATGCTTTAACCACTACACCATGGAGGCGGTCAACTCTGTATTGAGTTTAAGTTTGTATGGAGGCGGTGGGGTAGCCTAGTGGTTAAAGTGTTCGCTCGTTATGCTTAAGACCCGGGTTTGATTAGCCACATGGGCACAATATGTAAAGTCCATTTCTGGTTTCCCCCGCCTAGACTTTGCTGGGCCTAGACATTGCTGGAATATTGCCAAAAGCGGCGTAAAACCAAACTCACTCAAGTTTGTATGCGGACTACAAACCTAATATGTTCTAATATGTTAGAATATATGCAGAACCAACAAAGGCAATTCGCACTTGGAGAAATGAATTATACTGAAAATGGGTAGTACATGTTTGTTAATATAGGCGAATAATGGCGGATATATTCTGATGCATTCCGCACCCCCACCCACACCCCACCAAACACGGCAGTACGGGATGCTCTTGGAAGAAGTATTATTTGCTGCTACATCATTTTCTTCTGCCTTACTGATATCTTTACATTGATTTGTATTGATTTATGAACTTAAAGGCACAATTTCACACCACACTTAAAAATTAAAAAATGCATTTCTCTCAATAATATTAGCAATCAGCCCTCGGGGAAGCTACCATATTAATCGCATTAAATCGACTCTCGCGCCTTCTACCGGCCGAACCCCACAGTTATGCCAACCCCACATAGTTATGCCACCTGGAGCGCTCTTTACGAATATCTTACATAACTCCTTTGTGGACAGAACTCAGTCCTAGACAAAATGACGCTAATGTCTGGCGCAAAACATACGCGCATCTTGTGAGTGAAATCAGCTCGACAAACACCGACAACACTGCGGGCGACAGTTTTTGATGTACGGAACAATTGTTTGCATTCGATATATGGCAAGCGTTCTCTGTTTGAAAGCTGTTCGCCTCGAAGTTTCAATTATCGATTTCAGGCGAGTCGTAAGGGATAATAACTCTTTTATTGCATCAATAGGAAGCTAAAGTGAGTGCATATGCCCCAAATACATGTTATACAGGCCAAAACATTGTCGGAAATGTGTGAACTTGTGCCTTTAATCAGACTAAGAGTACAATTGTTAATTACAGCACATCTCTTTGTTGTTCGCTGACTTCACACATTGTTTTCTTCCGGGTTGTTTAGTATTGCCTCCAACTAGTGGGACCACCCATCATCTGATGTACGCATGTAAAATCTCCTTGGTGTGTAAATGCTCTTGATCACTGGATTATCTGGTCCAGACTCGATTAGTAACAGACCGCCGCCATATAGCTGTGCGGCGTTAAACAACAAACCGACCAAACTTGGTGTGCACATTCGTCTGTCTCAACTCCGCATGTATAAAGGCCAGTTTGATGTTTGGCTTTTCCACAACACGGGCATGTCTATGTATAATTGTGTTTCTTTGTTTGTTGTCCGTAAGATATCCTCGTTAAAACAGGGGTTATTGGTGCGATGATGTCACTGTGTGTACTGGCATACTGATGGTGAGACTCACCCAGAGGGGTTATTGGTGCGATGATGTCACTGTGTGTACTGGCATACTGATGGTGAGACTCACCCAGAGGGGTTATTGGTGCGATGATGTCACTGTGTGTACTGGCATACTGATGGTGAGACTCACCCAGAGGAGTTATTGGTGCGATGATGTCACTGTGTGTACTGGCATACTGATGGTGAGACTCACCCAGAGGGGTTATTGGTGCGATGATGTCACTGTGTGTACTGGCATACCGATGGTGAGACTCACCCAGAGGGTTATTGGTGCGATGATGTCACTGTGTGTGTACTGGCATACTGATGGTGAGACTCACCCAGATGGGTTATTGGTGCGATGATGTCACTGTGTCTGGCATACCGATGGTGAGACTGTTATTGGTGCGATGATACTGATGGTGGCAGACTGATCACCCAGAGGGGTTATTGGTGCGATGATGTCACTGTGTGTACTGGCATACCGATGGTGAGACTCACCCAGATGGGTTATTGGTGCGATGATGTCACTGTGTGTACTGGCATACCGATGATGTGAGACTCACCCAGAGGGTTATTGGTGCGATGATGTCACTGTGTGTACTGGCATACCGATGGTGAGACTCACCCAGAGGATTGGGGATTATTGTGTACTGTGCGATGATGTCACTGTGTGTACTGGCATACCGATGGTGAGACTCACCCAGAGGGTTATTGGTGCGATGATGTCACTGTGTGTACTGGCATACCGATGGTGAGACTCACCCAGAGGGGTTATTGGTGCGATGATGTCACTGTGTGTACTGGCATACCGATGGTGAGACTCACCCAGATGGGTTATTGGTGCGATGATGTCACCCAGAGGTGGTGTACTGGCATACTGATGGTGAGACTCACCCAGATGGGTTATTGGTGCGATGATGTCACTGTGTGTATACTGGCATACCGATGGTGAGACTCACCCAGAGGTGAGATCACCCAGATGTGCGATGATGTCACTGTGTGTACTGGCATACCGATGGTGAGACTCACCCAGAGGTTATTGGTGCGATGATGTCACTGTGTGTACTGGCATACCGATGGTGAGACTCACCCACAGGGGTTATTGGTGCGATGATGTCACTGTGTGTACTGGCATACCGATGGTGAGACTCACCCAGAGGGTTATTGGTGCGATGATGTCACTGTGTGTACTGGCATACCGATGGTGAGACTCACCCAGAGGGGTTATTGGTGCGATGATGTCACTGTGTGTACTGGCATACCGATGGTGAGACTCACCCAGAGGGTTATTGGTGCGATGATGTCACTGTGTGTACTGGCATACCGATGGTGAGACTCACCCAGAGGGTTATTGGTGCGATGATGTCACTGTGTGTACTGGCATACCGATGGAGAGACTCACCCAGAGGGTTATTGGTGCGATGATGTCACTGTGTGTACTGGCATACCGATAGTGAGACTCACCCAGAGGGTTATTGGTGCGATGATGTCACTGTGTGTACTGGCATACTGATGGTGAGACTCACCTAGATGGGTTATTGGTGCGATGATGTCACTGTGTGTACTGGCATACTGATGGTGAGACTCACCCAGAGGGTTATTGGTGCGATGATGTCACTGTGTGTACTGGCATACCGATGGTGAGACTCACCCAGAGGGTTATTGGTGCGATGATGTCACTGTGTGTACTGGCATACCGATGGTGAGACTCACCCAGAGGGTTTTTGGTGCGATGATGTCACTGTGTGTACTGGCATACCGATGGTGAGACTCACCCAGATGGGTTATTGGTGCGATGATGTCACTGTGTGTACTGGCATACCGATGGTGAGACTCACCCAGATGGGTTATTGGTGCGATGATGTCACTGTGTGTACTGGCATACCGATGGTGAGACTCACCCAGAGGGGTTATTGGTGCGATGATGTCACTGTGTGTACTGGCATACCGATGGTGAGACTCACCCAGAGGGGTTATTGGTGCGATGATGTCACTGTGTGTACTGGCATACCGATGGTGAGACTCACCCAGAGGGTTATTGGTGCGATGATGTCACTGTGTGTACTGGCATACCGATGGTGAGACTCACCCAGAGGGGTTATTGGTGCGATGATGTCACTGTGTGTACTGGCATACCGATGGTGAGACTCACCCAGAGGGTTTTTGGTGCGATGATGTCACTGTGTGTACTGGCATACCGATGGAGAGACTCACCCAGAGGGTTATTGGTGCGATGTTGTCACTGTGTGTACTGGCATACCGATGGTGAGACTCACCCAGAGGGGTTATTGGTGCGATGATGTCACTGTGTGTACTGGCATACCGATGGTGAGACTCACCCAGAGGGGTTATTGGTGCGATGATGTCACTGTGTGTACTGGCATACCGATGGTGAGACTCACCCAGAAGGTTTTTGGTGCGATGATGTCACTGTGTGTACTGGCATACCGATGGTGAGACTCACCCAGATGGGTTATTGGTGCGATGATGTCACTGTGTGTACTGGCATACCGATGGTGAGACTCACCCAGAGGGGTTATTGGTGCGATGATGTCACTGTGTGTACTGGCATACCGATGGTGAGACTCACCCACAGGGGTTATTGGTGCGATGATGTCACTGTGTGTACTGGCATACTGATGGTGAGACTCACCCAGAGGGGTTATTGGTGCGATGATGTCACTGTGTGTACTGGCATACCGATGGTGAGACTCACCCAGAGGGGTTATTGGTGCGATGATGTCACTGTGTGTACTGGCATACTGATGGTGAGACTCACCCAGATGGGTTATTGGTGCGATGATGTCACTGTGTGTACTGGCATACCGATGGTGAGACTCACCCAGATGGGTTATTGGTGCGATGATGTCACTGTGTATACTGGCATACTGGTGGTGAGACTCACCCACAGGGGTTATTGGTGCGATGATGTCACTGTGTGTACTGGCATACCGATGGTGAGACTCACCCAGAGGGATTATCGGCGGGATTATGTCACTGTGTGTACTGGCATACCGATGGTGAGACTCACCTAGAGGGGTTATCGGCGGGATGATGTCACTTTGTGTACTGGCATACTGATGGTGAAACTCACCCAAAGGGGTTATTGGTGCGATGATGTCACTGTGTGTACTGTACTGGCATACACTGATGGTGAGGTGACTCACCCAGAGGGTTATTGGTGCGATGATGTCACTGTGTGTACTGGCATACCGATGGTGAGACTCACCCAGAGGGGTTATTGGTGCGATGATGTCACTGTGTGTACTGGCATACCGATGGTGAGACTCACCCAGAGGGGTTATTGGTGCGATGATGTCACTGTGTGTACTGGCATACCGATGGTGAGACTCACCCAGAGGGTTATTGGTGCGATGATGTCACTGTGTGTACTGGCATACCGATGGTGAGACTCACCCAGAGGGTTATTGGTGCGATGATGTCACACTGTGTACTGGCATACTGATGGTGAGACTCACCCAGAGGGTTATTGGTGCGATGATGTCACTGTGTGTACTGGCATACCGATGGTGAGACTCTCACCAGAGGGTTATTGGTGCGATGATGTCACTGTGTGTACTGGCATACCGATGGTGAGACTCACCCAGAGGGTTATTGGTGCGATGATGTCACTGTGTGTACTGGCATACCGATGGTGAGACTCACCCAGAGGGTTATTGGTGCGATGATGTCACTGTGTGTACTGGCATACCGATGGTGAGACTCACCCAGAGGGGTTATTGGTGCGATGATGTCACTGTGTGTACTGGCATACCGATGGTGAGACTCACCCAGAGGGGTTATTGGTGCGATGATGTCACTGTGTGTACTGGCATACCGATGGTGAGACTCACCCAGAGGGGTTATTGGTGCGATGATGTCACTGTGTGTACTGGCATACCGATGGTGAGACTCACCCAGAGGGTTTTTGGTGCGATGATGTCACTGTGTGTACTGGCATACCGATGGTGAGACTCACCCAGATGGGTTATTGGTGCGATGATGTCACTGTGTGTACTGGCATACCGATGGTGAGACTCACCCAGAGGGTTATTGGTGCGATGATGTCACTGTGTGTACTGGCATACCGATGGATGGTGAGACTCACCCAGAGGGGTTATTGGTGCGATGATGTCACTGTGTGTACTGGCATACTGATGGTGAGACTCACCCAGAGGGGTTATTGGTGCGATGATGTCACTGTGTGTACTGGCATACTGATGGTGAGACTCACCCAGATGGGTTATTGGTGCGATGATGTCACTGTGTGTACTGGCATACTGATGGTGAGACTCACCCAGATGGGTTATTGGTGCGATGATGTCACTGTGTGTACTGGCATACCGATGGTGAGACTCACCCAGATGGGTTATTGGTGCGATGATGTCACTGTGTATACTGGCATACTGGTGGTGAGACTCACCCAGAGGGGTTATTGGTGCGATGATGTCACTGTGTGTACTGGCATACCGATGGTGAGACTCACCCAGAGGGATTATCGGCGGGATTATGTCACTGTGTGTACTGGCATACTGATGGTGAAACTCACCCAAAGGGGTTATCGTCCAACGGATCCGCCTCCTCTTGGTTCAGCAAGAATCTCTCCTGCTCAAGGATGAAAGAGTTGTTGACTGTGCGCACGTTTACAACCGGATATCCGGTCTGCCTTGTCCAAGTGTCCATGATCTTCTTAACAATGTACGTGTTGTTGACAGTCTGCCAAAGACATAACTCCGTTTCACTAACATAACATTTGTCAGGTATCCATACGTTCTGTATTCATTCTGCAAATATAGCCTATGAAATAAAAGGCCCCCCCATGTTCTCAGCACAAAAACAATCAATATTACACATTCAATAACAAACACACACACACACACACACACACGCACGCACGCACGCACGCACGCACTCACTCACGCACGCACGCACACACCCTACACACACACGTCCTACACACACCGTCTACCACATACACCCTTCACTATTGCTGCACCCTCACCTGCGTTGATCTATTACCATGTACCCCTAATATCCTACCCTGACGACTGATCATCAGCACTACCCGTTCAACATGCTCCACCCACCACCGTTATTAATCTGTTTCCATTAAACCTTCGTTGATACCACGCTACTGCTCACTAATCAACTCTAAACAATCTGCTCACCGCAACCTGGACTCATCAGCCCTCGTGTATATAGTAACATCCACCCCACCACGGCTCACTATAAACACAACATCGTCGAACGAGATGTTTAAATCATTGCCGACTGTGTAGGATGAACCCACTGAAAAAGTGGTTGGACTTTTTAAGATTCCTATTGTAGTCTTTTCGAATGGAAATTCGAACAGATACCGAAGAAAGCACTCGTAAAATATCCTCTTCCAACTTGTGGATTTTGAAGGATATCATTCGCAGTTCTCATCATCAAATCAACAGCCCAGATTTATCAGCAAGTAATACCGTTTCCTACCAACCTCTGTAAATGTCTGCCAAAGTTCATCCCGGTCGGCGTTCTGGAACTTATATCTGCGGACGTACAGCTGCAACGCAAATAACAAATACAAATGTAACAATGCACAATTATAGGTGTCGTAACACATTGCTCTCTGTCCCTCTGAGAGATGTGTTACGGAGAGAGAGAGAGAGAGAGAGAGAGAGAGAGAGAGAGAGAGAGAGAGAGAGAGAGAGAGAGAGAGAGAGAGAGAGAGAGAGAGAGAGAGAGAGAGAGAGAGAGAGAGAGAGAGAGAGAGAGAGAGAGAGAGAGAGTTATATCATTTTGCGAATTTCTTTCTTTCCTCTCTTTTTCTATGCTTATATTTACTATTATAATTCCGTAGGTAATTAGTCTATTTTGGAGTTTATTTGAGATTATTTGGATTCATTCGGTTTACACTCAATAAATCAGTCAGTCCTACATACAAACATTGACCCAGCATCTGTGTCGGCAGTGTTACCTGTAATCCTTCCTTGAAACTTTTCCAGCCAATGAAACCTTGCAGCATCCTCAAAACAGCCATGCCCTGCAACAAAGCAGATATGATCACGTGGTACAAGTTATATCACGTTGTGATATCACACTATATCGCTGACAGCATAGTGGACAGTTCAGATTACATTTGTGTTGTTAGCCCAGCTTTGCAACAAAGAATTTCTTAGGGCCTTGAACATACCTTATTGTAAGAAATGATGTCAAAGGACTGTTGAACATCGTCTGGATCTTCGATATCCGCCGAAACAGGATGTGACGTCACTAGAGCGTCTTTAACCATGGCTGGAAACATGTATTCCACCACTTGAATGGCAAACTGCGAAAGAAAGGTATGAAATATATGTTACTTCCACTTTCAGGAGGAAATGGTGTTACCAAAGCAATGTGGCTTTGGGTTAGTACTGTATCTAGAGTTATGTACACTATTACCTTCCGTCTAACCTCCAGACCGTGGCCTCCAATACAAAGAGTGCAAGTCTCACGAGAGAAGACTGCAAAGCTCCCAGCACTGGATCGAGATGAGTGATTTCATTTTTCGAACATATATTATGCACATACTTGTTAGCGTAACAAATCCAGCCATTAATGTCCAAGTGCTTAGACAGCCTTAGGGTGCATGTAGCAGCCGGACGCTGAGTTGCCTGAAGTAGCCCGCTGTCCACTAACAGGTCATGCGACTTAAGGAATCCACCAATGCCTCAGGGACCAGAATAGCACATCTCCTGTTGGTGGGTGTATTACTCTGTTGTTTGTTGTTGTTACTTTCATTTGTTTTGTTTTTTTCTTTGCCTCCACAAATATGTATTTAACTGTGCAGCTAAATATATGTGACAACATCTGGATAAGTAACGAACAATCTAATTAGTTGGGGCTATATCAACTGATACACTGTGGTCAGATAGCGCAGTCAGTAGGTTACACTGTGGTCAGATAGCGCAGTCAGTAGGTTACACTGTGGTTAGATAGCACAGTCAGTAGGTTACACTGTGGTCAGATAGCACAGTCAGTAGGTTACACTGTGGTCAGACAGCACAGTCAGTAGGTTACACTGTGGTCAGATAGCGCCGTCAGTAGGTTACACTGTGGTCAGAAAGCACAGTCAGTAGGTTACACTGTGGTCAGATAGCACAGTCAGTAGGTTACACTGTGGTCAGACAGCGCCGTCAGTAGGTTACACTGTGGTCAGATAGCACAGTCAGTAGGTTACACTGTGGTCAGATAGCACAGTGGGTAGGTTACACTGTGGTCAGACAGCGCCGTCAGTAGGTTACACTGTGGTCAGATAGCACAGTCAGTAGGTTACACTGTTGTCAGATAGCACAGTCAGTAGGTTACACTGTGATCAGACAGCGCCGTCAGTAGGTTACACTGTGGTCAGATAGCACAGTCAGCAGGTTACACTGTGGTCAGATAGCGCAGTCAGTAGGTTACACTGGTCAGATAGCGCAGTCAGTAGGTTACACTGTGGTCAGATAGCGCCGTCAGTAGGTTACACTGTGATGAGATAGCACAGTCAGTAGGTTACACTGGGAGGAGGGTTCAGGACTTACGACGTTCCACTCTGGGTAGGCGTTGTCCATGGCGAAGTACATGAGGAGGCTGGCAAACCCTTCGTTCAGCCACAGGTCATCCCACCATTTCATCGTCACCATGTTTCCGAACCACTGCAGCAAACAATATATTGATGACCATCTCGAAGTTACACAGTACCACTTACAGTAACCCTCACATCATTACCCAATCACCCGACTCACCACTCTACATCGGTAACCCTGTACCCCAGTCTATGAAACTCTCGACATCGGTGGCCCTGTACCCCAGTCTATGAAACACTCGACATCGGTAACCCTGTACCCCAGTCTATGAAACATTCGACATCGGTAACCCTGTACCCCAGTCTATGAAACACTCGACACCGGTAGCCCTGTACCCCAGTCTATGAAACACTCGACATCGGTATCCGTGTACCCCAGTCTATGAAACACTATACATCGGTAACCCTGTACCCCAGTCTATGAAACACTCGACATCGGTAACCGTGTACCCCAGTCTATGAAACACTATACATCGGTAACTGTGTACCCCAGTCTATGAAACATTCGACACCGGTAACCCTGTACCCCAGTCTATGAAACTCTCGACACCGGTAACCCTGTACCCCAGTCTATGAAACATTCGACATCGGTGGCCCTGTACCCGTCTATGAAACACTCGACATCGGTAACACTGTACCAAACCCCATCCCATGAAACACTTCACATCGGTAACCCTGTACCACACCCCATCCATTGAAACACTTCACATCGGTAACCCTTTACCACACCCCATCCCATGAAACACTTCACATCGGTAATCCTGTACCACACCCCATGAAACACTCGACATCGGGATCCCTGTACCAAATCCTGCCCCATGAAGCACTCGACATGGATAACCATGTATCACACCCCATCCCATGAAACACTCAACATCGGTAACCCTGTACCACACCCCATGAAACACTCGAAATCGAGATCCCTGTACCAAATCCTGCCCCATGAAGCACTCGACATGGATAACTCTGTACTACACCCCATCCCATGAAACACTCAACATCGGTAACCTTGTACCACACCCTATGAAACACTTGACATCGGGATCCCTGTACCAAATCCTGCCCCATGAAGCACTCGACATGGATAACCCTGTACTACACCCCATCCCATGAAACACTCAACATCGGTAACCTTGTACCACACCCCATGAAACACTTGACATCGGGATCCCTGTACCAAATCCTGCCCCATGAAGCACTCGACATGGATAACCCTGTATCACACCCCATCCGATGAAACACTTCACATCGGTAACCCTGTACCACACCCCATGAAACACTCGAAATCGGTATCCCTGTACCAAAACCTGCCCCATGAAGCACTCGACATGGATAACCCTGTACCACACCCCACCCCATGAAACACTCAACATCGGTAACCTTGTACCACACCCCATGAAACACTTGACATCGGGATCCCTGTACCAAATCCTGCCCCATGAAGCACTCGACATGGATAACCCTGTACCACACCCCATCCCATGAAACACTCAACATGGGTAACCTTGTACCACACCCCATGAAACACTCGACATCGGGATCCCTGTACCAAATCCCGCCCAATGAAGCACTCGACATGGATAACCCTGTACCACACACCATCCCATGAAACACCCAACATCGGTAACCCTGTTCAACACCCCATGAAACACTCAACATCGGTATCCCTGTACCACACCCCATGAAACACCCGACATCGGTATCCCTGTACCAAATCCCGCAAAATGAAGCACTCGACATGGATAACCCTGCACCCCAACCCATGAAACACTCAACATCGGTAACCCTGTACCACACACCATGAAACACTCAACATCAGTAACCTTGTACCACACCCCATGAAACACTCGACATCGGTATCCCTGTACCAAATCCTGCCCCATGAAGCACTCGACATGGATAACCCTGCACCCCACCCCATGAAACACTCGACATCGGTAACCCTGTACGACACCCCGTGAAACACTTTGACATCGGTAACACAAGCCGCTCCATCAGAAAACATTTCACCTGAGGACCAGGAGGACGTGGTCGTTAACAGACCCAAATATACACAAAACACATAACTTGGTTTCCCCTTTGGAGAAACTTCTTATTACAGGACAGTGTTGTCAAGGAAACACTGCCAACTTATGGGAAACTTGGTTCCCCTTTTGGAGAAACTTCTTATTACAGGACAGTGTTGTCAAGGAAACACTGCCAACTTATGGGAAACTTGATTCCCCTTTGAGAAACTTCTTATTACAGGACAGTGTTGTCAAGGAAACACTGCCAACTTATGGGAAACTTGGTTCCCCTTTGAGAAACTTCTTATTACAGGACAGTGTTGTCAAGGAAACACTGCCAACTTATGGGAAACTTGGTTCCCCTTTGGAGAAACTTCTTATTACAGGACAGTGTTGTCAAGGAAACACTGCCAACTTATGGGAAACTTGGTTCCCCTTTGAGAAACCTCTTATTACAGGACAGTGTTGTCAAGGAAACACTGCCAACTTATGGGAAACATGGTTCCCCTTTGGAGCAACTTCTTATTACAGGACAGTGTTGTCAAGGAAACACTGCCAACTTATGGGAAACATGGTTCCCCTTTGGAGAAACCTCTTATTACAGGACAGTGTTGTGAAGGAAACACTGCCAACTTATGGGAAACTTGGTTCCCCTTTTGAGAAACTTCTTATTACAGGACAGTGTTGTCAAGGAAACACTGCCAACTTATGGGAAACTTGGTTCCCCATTGGAGAAACTTCTTATTACAGGACAGTTTTGTCAAGGAAACACTGCCAACTTATGGGAAACTTGGTTCCCCTTTTGAGAAACTTCTTTTTACAGGACAGTGTTGTCAAGGAAACAATGCCAGTTATGGGAAACTTGGTTCCCCTTTGGAGAAACTTCTTATTACAGGACAGTGTTGTCAAGGAAACACTGCCAACTTATGGGAAACTTTATTCCCCTTTGGAGAAACTTATTATTACAGGACAGTGTTATCAAGGAAACACTGCCAACTTATGGGAAACTTGGTTCCCCTTTTGAGAAACCTCTTATTACAGGACAGTGTTGTCAAGGAAACACTGCCAACTTATGGGGAACTTGATTCCCCATTGGAGAAACTTCTTATTACAGGACAGTGTTGTCAAGGAAACAATGCCAGTTATGGGAAACTTTCACAAACACACACGTTATAGGCAGCTTTGTTCTTTAGGAAACACTGTCAAATGGGAACAGGACAGTGTTGTGAAGGAAACACTGCCAACTTATGGGAAACTTGGTTCCCCTTTTGAGAAACTTCTTTTTACAGGACAGTGTTGTCAAGGAAACAATGCCAGTTATGGGAAACTTGGTTCCCTTTGGAGAAACTTCTTATTACTGGGGGTGTTGTCAAGGAAACAATGCCAGTTATGGGAAACTTGGTTCCCCTTTGGAGAAACTTCTTATTACAGGACAGTGTTGTCAAGGAAACAATGCCAGTTATGGGAAACTTTCACAAACACACACGTTATAGGCAGCTTTGTTCTTTAGGAAACACTGTCAAATGGGAACGGGCTGCAGGGGTAATTATGAAAGACCTTCGTGACAGAATGGATAGGCAAGTGCTGTTAAAATGCAGTTTGTAAGTAAGAAGGAAGTTAAATATTTCACAGACTAATGGCCTCGCCATGAATATTAGCATACTCTGCCTCCATGCACACCATCTGAGCCGCGTCTTAATAGATTATAGCGAGCACCATTTGAAGATGTCACGCTACATTTCCATGTTTTGCAGACGAGTTGTAGTAAAAACTGTAAAGTTCTAAATGGGATCGGAAACAGGGGCATTTGGTGACATATTTTCTTTGATATTTAAATTGGTATTGTCAGTTTGGACAAGATCAATTTATCAGGTATGCGTATATTGAGCTGAGCGTTCACCGGAGACATCGACAGTCGATAGCAATCAGAGAAAGCCCTCGTTCTCGGGAGTTATCGTGTGGCCTCATGGGATTGTGCGAGACATGCGTTGTTTGGGGATAATGAATATGTGACTGTCAGCAGCATGATAAGAGAAGAAGTATTTCACAAGAGCGATTGTGTCCGTGTGATAACTTCACAGTGGAAAACCTGCAGCAATTCTCGATCGTTAGTGCAACACAATTCAAAACACAAAGCATCCGCTCAAGAATTACAGGCGAACTGAACACAAACTGGGTATAGTACGTGCAGTCGAAAGCTGGGATGCTCTAGGCCAAGTTCAACATAATCATTGTTAGTGATCTGTTGCAACATGTTAACATGTTTGGTCTGGAAAAATATGTCCTTCACAGATTGCCTGTAAATAAACCAAAACAATATCCGACTCACGAGATGAGTCCCCTACCCATATTGAGGTGGCTTGCATGCGACAACTATTCTGTCCGATATAAGGAAACACTGAATTCGCAGAACAGAGTATGTAGTATGTCCGTTCTGGTGAACAACATGGCATGAGAGCCATAGAACCTTCACGAGACGAGTAATATGTTCGTATTTGAAAAGTCATGGTACTTGCATGAGACGAGTGACGTGTCCGTATTAAGGTGACATATAGAGCCTGCATGAGACGAGTGGCGTGTCCGTATTGAGGTGACATGGAACTCCCATGAGACGAGTGACGTGTCCGTATTGAGGTGACAGAGAGCCTGCATGAGACGAGTGACGTGTCCGTATTGAGGTGACATAGAGCCTTCGTGAGACGAGTGACCCGTCCGTATTAAGGTGACATATAGAGCCTGCATGAGACGAGTGACGGGTCCCTATTAAGGTGACATATAGAGCCTGCATGAGACGAGTGACGGGTCCCTATTAAGGTGACATATAGAGCCTGCATGAGACGAGTGACGTGTCCGTATTGAGGTGACAGAGCCTGCATGAGACGAGTGACGGGTCCGTATTGATGTGACATATAGAGCCTGCATAAGACGAGTGACGGGTCCGTATTGAGGTGACAGAGCCTGCATGAGACGAGTAACGGGTCCGTATTGATGTGACATATAGAGCCTGCATGAGACGAGTGACGGGTCCGTATTGATGTGACATATAGAGCCTGCATGAGACGAG